GATGAATATATTGGCTGCTTATTGGTAAAGTACCTGTTCTTGTTACATTACTTCCCTAATCCTATCTTTGCCATTAAATTTTAATAAGCAGCAAATTAGGAGTTTATTGATGCAAAAGTCATAGCTAATTGTTTGATATTAGTGAGAGTTAAGGTTATCTTCTGAAAACTTCCTCCCAAAATGAAAGCAGTAAATGTCATGTGACAGATCAGTAATTTCCCCTCAGATCAAATGACAAGTGAACAATTAACTCTTCCTCTTTATTACTAGTTGAGCACTTCTAGTGCTGAACTTAAATGAACCTAATGTATGAGGACAGAATCAATACAATTTAATATTCTGTTTAATGTAAATGTAATTTCTACATTAAGTAACTAATGTGAAGGATTGGAATTTAGTAAGGAAATGTTACTGATAATTCAATGTATCGCATATTAACAAAAGCATGAATCCTTTTTTATTTATGTCTTAATTGCAGTTTAAATGTCAGTATTTAGCTGTAAAACTGTCAAATGAGATTTAATTTAAAAATAGGGATTTAAGTTGATTTCAGCATATACAGTTTGGTCCATAAATATTTAGACATAAGCCTCTTTCACACAGTGATACCGGTAAATATCTGGAAAATTTCCGGAACGACTTTACCGGTATATTCAAAAAAGCGCTGTTCACACAGGCGAGGACGTTACGGAAAATTTCCAGAAAAGAGCATTTACACATCCATTTCAAAATAGCGGTAAATTCTGACATCATTCACCACAAATGAGCTTTAAACGGCTGCGCTTGTGTTTGTAAACATTTGACTAAATTACAAACTCTGTGGATGATTAATATTGTGAACAACTTTCGCAGGATCACTTTCTCATGTCGAGATGTTCATAATTTGTGCATGTGCAGGCGCTCACAGGCTGTTTCACAGGCACACGCAAAGCTCGAAGGTAAACAAACAACGACTTATCATAAGCATCTCATCGATGATTATTTACACAGTTGGCATTAAGAAGAACATATAAACATGATCTGACTATCTTCTAGCAGCTAAATGTGTCTGGAAAAATATTTAAAGGCTTTTATTCTCACAAACCGCGCGGACGTGAATGCGTCTGACTGTTGTGACTGGCTAAAGCAGACGTCTCACGTCAGCACGTTCTAGACGTGCACGCGCTTATTACGACAATCTTCCTTCTGCATTCACACAGCGCAGCATTCCGGCAAATTGCCGGTAATGTTACAACTTCTCTTTCCGGAAAATAGCCAGAACGAATTTACCGGTATTTTCAAAAAGGACCTGTTCACACATACAACCTTTGCCGGCAATTTTCCGGAAAGGTCTGTATGTGTGAAAGGGGCTATAGACACAATTCTAACAGTTTTGGGTCTATACACCAACACAGTCGATTGAAAACGATCAAGATGTGCTTTAACTGCAGACTGTCAGCTTTAATTTGAGAGTATTTACATCCAAATCAGGTGAACGATGTAGGAATTACAACAGTTTGCATACATAGTTATATGTTTTTCTTTTTTGCCTGTTGCTACAGTATGGGGGTGATTTTACACTGTAAAAATGCTATCATTTTTAACATTTTGGTTGCCAAGAGGTCTGTAAATTTACAAGCGCACTGTAAATTAATAATTACAATTGTATTGTAACAATACAACATGATTGTAGTTATCCATTTACAAAGCGTTTGCAAATTTACAGTCTTACTGGCAGCCAAAATTGCCAGTAAGTTGCTGTGAATTTTACAGTATTTTTTTACAGTTTAATATTGTGATGTTTTGTCAAACATTTTTAATTATTAACACACATTACATTTTATCTCTAAAAATGCGTTTTGTGTGTTTTGAGACATTTTGTCTTAAAAATATGAACTTTTTGAAATATTAAGTGTCCAATTATATGTATTTTGGTGAGGAGTTTGTGGAGTCTGTGTGGAGTTTGCATGTTCTCCTTGCCTTCGCGTTGGTTACCTCCGGGTGCTCTGGTTTCCCCCACCGTCCAAAGACATGCGGTACAGGTGAATTGGGTAGGCTAAATTGTCCGTAGTGTATGAGTGTATGTGTAAATGTTTGTGTGGATGTTTCCCAGAGATGGGTTGCGGCTGGAAGGGCATCCGCTGCGTAAAAACTTGCTGGATAAGTTGGCGGTTCATTCCGCTGTGGCGACCCCGGATTAAAAAAGGGACTAAGTCGACAAGAAAATGAATGATTGAATGTATATGTATTTTCAATCCAAGCTCATTCTGGAAACGTAGCCCCGCGGACGTTTCTGGAGGCCGCGATTTACGTGGCCAGAGGTACGTAAAGGCCGCGTTTGTTTTTTTTTTCGAGCGAACGCTGCGGGGCGGTGTGGCGCCGCTCCGCCCCTCCTCTTCGCGCTCGCCGGCCGACGGCTTGCCTCCGAGTGGAGGGCTTTCCCGACGCAATCAGTTTGTCCGCCTAGCTCACAGCGTTGCGTCGGCGGAGCGGAGGCCCCGGAGGAGGAGGACGAGCCGGAGCCGGCCGCGGTGGACGCTGACCGGGATCGAGTCCGGGGAACGGCGGGTTCCGGAAATCAGGTAAGACGAAAAACGGAATCCGGAAAATAAGGGCGAGAACGCGGCGGGATCCGAAAACGCGGTCGAAATCGAAGACGGGGGCTTTAGCTTTTTTTTGGGGTTTTTTTTTCGATCCGGCGCGAACGCACCGCGATCCCGGATCTGCGAAAACAAAAAAACGCTCGAATACGTACCTCCCGGGACGTAAAACGCGGTCCGCAGAAACGTCCGCTGGGCTACGTTTCCACAATGAGCCCGGGTTGTGTATTTTTGACTGTCTCCGCTTTCTGAATCATGGATTCAGGTTCAAATATTTAATTATTAGGTAATTAAGTGTCATTTTCATCTTTTTTGTTTGCTGAGTTAAATAGGTGGTTCATTCCACTGTGGTGACCCCTGATGAATAAAGGGACTAATCCAAAGAAAATTGAACAAACGAACGAACAAACGAATGAATGAATGAATGAATGAATGAATGAATGAATGAATGAATGAATGAATGAATGAATGAATGAGTTAATTAAGCATTTAAATGGAACGTCAATTTTTTGTATTATTTGTAACTTTAGTATTTAAAAAAAAATACTTTTTGTGTCTGTCCCTACATTCTGGTCAACTTTTACATTGATTATAAAAACTAAGATCAATCCATTAAACACTAATAGAAAAAGCGTGTGACTTGCTCCAAGTAATGTCACTTCCTCTGGCGGGAAACCATCAATTCCTCTAGCATTGAGCCATGCCATTATTCCTCTCTCATTATTATATGCAACATGTTTAGGTAGTAGTAAATTACTTGTCAGCCCTGTTATAGTGATATTTCAGTGAATTACTCATGTATTTTTAAAAACAATAATATGACTAAAATGCCAACAATTGTGTTTTAGACATGCCATGTTGAATTTGGTTTGAGTTTGAACATCAATTGGTAACACAACCAAATGTCCATTATCATATGAAAGCATTTTGCATCCTTTTACTTTAATATTGAGTTTAAATTTTGGCTATAACTCTAGTTTAAATAAAAAATTATGGAAAATAAGTCACTTACCTTTTTGGTGGTTGCTATGGCTTTGTCAGATGTGTTGGGACAACATGAAAGACTTAAGTAACTAATCAGTTTAACAAATTTAAATGGATTGAACGTTAACTACATACCCAAACAATCTCAAGAATTGTTTCAGCTCATTATAAATTAGTTTGAACAAACATCAACCATCATTTCTTTAAATGCATGTTGTAGTTGTTTTGTCTGTCAGAAAACTGAAGTGTTTAGTAAACTAAACTCTCCTCAACATGCCACATGATTTGAAGAATCACAGCAAACAGTGGGATTGGACACTTGTGATATACTGTATGTTAAATCTTTACACTGACTGTACCATATGCTGTAAGGACAATAACAATTTAATTAATTTTAAAAGTTAGCCATGCTGTTTTCATAATCAGTGTTATTATTACAGTATTTTCTCTTAATAACTTTTTGGTATAAATGTATTTTCCAAAGGACTATTATAATTTCTGTGTTTAGAGAAGGGAAATTGATGTGGAAAGATCTGAATTCTCCTGAAGAGCGTCAGAAGAGCGGGAAAAACACGCGGATAGATGTCGTATCTAAGCAACAGCCACAGAAGAAACCTTGATTCTTGTTGACGGCTCTTTGTCAGTGACCGAGTGTAGGCGACGCGGAGAGTCAAGTTAATGGCACTATTACTATCACTGCCAGACTTCTGCGACGAGTTTTCTGTCCGTTATTGCTTCTAAGAAGATTCGAGCAATGTTTCCCCACATTCAGAAGTGAAGAAAGTCTGCTATGCTTATTAACGTGTTCCTGTGATAGAGACACGTCTCCCTCTTGTGGTCATTAATTCTAGTACATGTCGGAAGGTTTTGGACAAAGCAAGGCCAGGTATTATAGCCTACACAGGGATTTTTTAAGCAGAGATATTGGTAAAGAACACAACAAACGATTACTTGAAATATGAACTCTATAGAGGAGTGTTTACAATATGGCGTATACTACAGTGATGTTTATAACATGGTATTAAGACAGCATAAGGCCACATGGTTAGAACATCATGCTAAACAATGCTTTAAGAAATGTGACATTTGCCTGTAATTCTCTCTAAGGGTAATGCGTACACAGTCTGAGGTTGTGAATGGGATTCATTTGTTAGATTTCCTTCTCTAGATTTGTTGTATTTTCCAAAGTTAGCACTAAAATCGCAATTATTTTACCGCAGCAAAATTTTGGTAAATTAAAATGGGAATTTGTTTGTACACATCTGAAGAATGTTTATTTCATTTAATGAATAGTCAGGTGCATATTTTCAGTACTATTGCATGAACTGCATTAATGATTCTTAATCTCTTTGAATTAAATCAAGATGTTTTCTCTCGCTTGCTTTACAGAGTGCTTTCGTTTATGTTTTGATTCTTTTTCTTCTTCTCATTCATCAGTGGGTGAGGCTAGAAATCTGATTCCCATGGACCCCAATGGCCTTTCAGATCCGTATGTGAAGCTCAAACTCATCCCAGACCCCAAGAACGAGACCAAACAGAAGACCCGCACCATCCGCTCCTCGCTCAACCCCACCTGGAACGAGTCCTTCATCTTGTGAGTCTGAGCTAAACACACATACACACATACTTGTTTGATTTATGAGGACCCTCCATAAGTTTAATGTATTTTATACTGTAAAAAAAAAAAAAAAAAAAAACACTTATTATGTGACATTACCCGTTCCCCTAAAACCAATCATCACAACACTGTTAATGAGTTTTGCAAATTGCACAGTATTTAACTGTATTTTGCACTGTATTTTACTGTAGGGTAGTTATGCAGTGTTACTGTACTGTATGCTTTTGTAGGCAGAACAGTTTTGAATAGATATATGCATTATGTAATTTTGACTCATTTGGTTACCAGGTGTCCATTTGGAGTTTCCAGATGGCTTTTTAGAAAGGACGCCTATACTTTTTTTAAAATAAAAACTTACAGAAGCTACATTTTGGGGAGTATCGTCATGAAATTTTAATCAAAACATAGTCAGACATTAAGCTTTATCTTTCAGGTGACTCCATGCCATTATTATGATAGTCATTATTATTTTTCTTCTAATGAATTTCATTGACAAAAATCACAATTCACTTTCACCTATATTTTACTCCGTTTCTTTACTACTTTAAGTTATTTACACTCTAAAAAATAACTCAAGAGGTCTGTTACCACTACATAGTTTAATACATTATTGTAACTTAAAAATTCTAAAATGCTGATTAGATTAAAACTTTTAAATTGCCAGAATAATTTTATTAAGTTTTCATAACAGGAAAATATTGAAAATTACATCAATTTAAAAATTCGGCTAATTTAAAAGTAAACAAAAATGTCAATTACTTTTAAACAATATTTAACTTGTAGCAACCCAAAGAAATTGGGTTGATAACTCCATTTTTCCACACTAATGGAGTTGTTTTGTATTTTTCCACACACTGATGTTTTTTGCTGTTTTTTTATACTGATAATATGGAACACTACATGTTTTTGTTTTGTAAAACAATAAAAACCTGTTTTATAAAAAAAAATACTGAAAAACAAAAATGCTGTTGTTAAATGTATTTCATACAAGCATGAACAGTAAATTTGCTAAAAAAAAATTAAACAATTACAGCTACTTAATTTATTTGAGGTTCTAAACTTAAAAACATGCAATTACGCACAAAACACTTGATTTGTTTTCGATTTTAATTAAAAAAACTATTTGAAACAACTTATTTTTTTTAAATTCTCAACTTAAAAAATGCAGTTTATGCTAAGTATAAATGCCTCTGATTGAAGAGGAAAAGATTTGGCTAACATAATAAAGTTTGTTGTCTGAACCTCATTTTGTCAGATGTTGTCGTAACTTGAATATATTAATGCAAACTGTTGCGTTAATTTTGTTTTGTTTTGTCTAAACAATATTTTTTAGAGTGTAGAGCCTTGGATTTTAAACTAGCCAATGTCTAGTTTCAAACAAAACCAGACTTGTGAACACAGACCACAGAGTTTAAGAGCTACAGACATTTATATTTGGGTAAGTCGTTTTCTGGAAAATGCTCAAAAATGAGGCGCAGGTTATAAGATTAAAGCTGCATTGTAAAAATGACTGTATACTTTAGAGTAAAGTTATACAATACTGTTAATACATACAAATCAAACGTGCTGTATATGTAAATACAGTATTTTTGCTGTGATTGATTTACAGTACGTTACTGGCGAACTGCTGCCCGACAGTTTCTGTAGATTCTACAGGAAATTGTAGAAACCTGTGGCAAAACCATTGTCAAAAGACACTGTTAGTATGATTTTAAGTGTTGTGAATTACAAGAACCCAAGGCATGTCCTTGTAAACCACCTTACTAAACTACAACTAGGTAATACCAATGTCATTATAAAAGTTTGTTTCTTCGCAAACCACAAAAGCATGTACACACACATGCACATGCATGCAAACACACTTTGAATGCACTGTGAATTGATTTTGTCATGTGAATATGTGTGCAGTAAGTTAAAGGCGTCAGATAAGGAGCGGCGTCTGTCAGTGGAGGTGTGGGATTGGGACAGAACCACCCGAAATGACTTCATGGGCTCCATGTCCTTCGGTGTGTCTGAGCTGATCAAAGCTCCTGTGTCTGGGTGGTGAGTCAAACACACACACTGACACTACATACACAAATGACTGTATTTCCAACATCCCTTTCACTATAGACCTTTTTCTTGGAACGCAAAATTACCCATTATGCTTTGCGTGTATGCGCAAGGAGAATGCAAAGAACTTCCGGTCGGCAGCTGATGCGTGTAAACGGTCACATTTGGACAGCTTTGAAACGCTAGTTTTAATCTATTTTACCTGCTTTTATCCTCTTTGAACTAATACTGTTGTCCATCAGCACCATCTCCTGGACTGATCATTTAAAGAAATGCGATCTAATAGGATGGAAAACAGCTGCTGTGAGGCATTTTCCCCTCGTTGTCAGACGGCATCTTCTGCAGTTTAAATGAAGCCTCGTCATCGCTAAAGTCAACATTTTCTCTTTATTTCAAATATATAACCAGCCCAAACAAATGTAATTCACCAAAATGTTTGACACAAACACGTAGCCTGTACTGTGCCACTGACACACTGATTTAATAACTGTGACAAAGTGCAAATATAGGCTAGTGTCATTTCGAAATGAAAGAAAAACACAAACCGTGGTAAAAACAACACATGAAATAAAACACAAACGGCTCGCGATTAGAATGAACAGCAAATCAGCCAGCAGAGGATCAATAACAGACTTTTATTGGTCATTTTTGTAAATTGCACGACTTTCATACCTGTAAAGTTTCATGCCAGTACTCTGGTTTGCTCTCTCTCTCTCTCTCTCTCTCTCTCTCTCTCTGTGTGTGTGTGTTAAAGAGCCGCTGAGCTAACAGCTGACAGGCCGGGAACGCACACACACACTGTATTTCTGACAGCAGACACGTGAACTAGGAGAACGTTTTTCTCGTATTTTTGACGCGCTTGAACCACATGTGACAGATTATAACGGCTTTTACAGACACATTTCTAAGTTGTGTGTCACAAAAACACTCTGTTATCCATTAAAAAAGTCATTGAAACCCATGTTTGGAGCGCAAATTACCAGTTGTACACGGCTGTAAACGAAAGTTTTTAGCATTCTACCGGAAGACGCTGGTCACTATGGCACCCTCCATGCAGCAGCCATGAAAAAGGTCTATGAAAACTGTTTTTTTTTTTTTTTTTGCCGAACCAATTATCATGATAATATAATATGTAATTACATAATATTATAATATATACTATACTGTGGCCAATAGCAATGTGAATCTATTATGTTTTCACTGTGTTTTGAAACTATATTTTATTGCACTGAACTTATTTCTCATGAAAAAAGAAGACAAAATAGACTCTGAAACGGAAAACTCACAAAGCACACAATAAATGAGTGTTTGAAAGGTAGAAACTGTAGCAGATAGGCACACAGACATACACAGATGTCACGCCTGGGCTCTCTCAGAAAGGCAAAGAATCGCTGGAGTTATCAACCACATAGATTTATTTACACACACTAACTTGGAAGACATAGGAAACACAGGAGTGACATGGGGTGTAGACAGAACACAACGTAGAATATCAGGACCAAGGACTGAACAACACACTTGAGTATAAATACACATGACTAAATGGAACTAATGACAAACAGGGGTGAGACACAGGTGGAACTAATGAACATTACAAAACAGCGGGAAACAACGGAGCACATGGAACAACATAGATGACAGAAAGAAAGATGTTTTATTTATATATATATATATATATATATATATTTTATTTTATTTTTTTACATATTTGTTACATATTTATATATATTTTTTTATTTTTAAGAAACAATTAATTCCAATCAGGCGACATGGTGTGTTCAGTGGTTAGCACTGTTGCCTAACAGCAAGGTCACTGGTTTGAGTCCCAGCTGGGTCAGTTGGCATTTCTGTGTGAAGTTTGCATGTTCTCCCCATTGGCGGTTCATTCCACTGTGGCAACCTCTAATAAATAAAGGGACTAAGCCGAAGGAAAATGAATGAATGAATAATTCCAAACATTTTGTAAACTTTACACCATACAGTGTATAAAAGGATAAATCCCCTTCATCACAACACAGAAAATAATATAAATCTACATTACCATAATATAAATCATTCATTAACTTATATATTATATAGTATTATTATATATTATATATCAACTTACTGTATATGTCAACATAATTCTTAAAATCAAAATCAAGACATTGCATACGGTTTAAATAAACACCAGATCTGTTCTTCATTCATTATTCCTGCTCATGTTCATAGTACTGTTTTGCTAGACCATTCCAAAAGTGAATCACTTGCCATTTTATCTCTGGCCTTTAACTCTTTCCTGCTTCTAAAGTAAATACATCATGGGTAAACTTTTCACCAGACTTTAAGAAACAATTGACTCAACAAGGTAAAAAGTCTCACACAATACTGAAACAGATTCTCTAAGGCCACAAAACACACACTTTTATCATAAATGCTTGAATTAATCACAGAAATAAAAGCATCAACTGACAAAGCTCTATATAAAATTCTCCATTGCAGATCTCCAGAGATAGAGAGACACATACACATTTACTGTACACACACACTTGTACAGCTATCTTTATGAGCTCTTATCACAGACGTAACCGTACTGTATATTCTATCCTCTTCCCCCAATCCTAGCCCTAAACTCAACCCTCGCAGGAACTAATCTGCATTTTACATTTTCAAAGTACTCCACTTTTCGTGATTTGTGAGCTGATTTCCTCCTGATGACCAAAATGCCCCTACTAGGTCAAAATTAACTGGTATTGCTATACTTGAAAGGACATTTGGTCCCCACAACAATAGGAAAACACACACAGACACACACACAGACACACAGACACACACACACACACACACACACACACACACACACACACACACACACACACACACACACACACACACACACACACACACAAAGACCAGAGCCATTGCCTCAGCTTAATGATGTCATGTTTATGGCAACAGGAAGTTCAGTGTCTGTTACTAAAGCCATAAAACAACAGATGACTGTGTTCTGGCAGTCCTTCAGTCTACAGTCAAGCATTTTAATGCATATTACTTTGGCTTATGTTGTCCAGGGTTTTTTTATGGTGTCAAATATCAGTAAAAACCTTAGTAAATTGCGCTGCTTGATTTATTTTTTAAATGCTTTACTCAAATACATTTTTGTATCAACAAAGTAATGCACAAGTAACAAGGTCCACGTCTTTTCAGCACTAATATTTCAATACAAATGTTTTCATTGAAAGTTGCTTAATTAAAATATCAATTTAATCGTAATCATCGATGAAAAATATCAAATACATTTATTTTGAAAGCAAAATTTTACTAGTAAAAATGCGTGGAAAGCCATTGCCTTAAAACTTTACACAATATGAAACTAAACAAAGTTGTGTCTAAGCTTTACTTTATTTTACTTTACTGCACTTTACATAATTTTGACATCCTTAAAGACGTCTAAAAGACATAGTTTGGGCATAACTTTGCTTTATGGGATGTTAGGGCTGTTTAGTTTCACATTGAACTTAGTTGATTAGTTTAATGAAACAAATTTCACTGCAGCTTTCTTGTCTAGTCAACTGCAGTGCATCCGGAAAGTATTTATAGCGCTTCACTTTTCCACGTTTTTTTTTATGTTACTGCCTTATTCCAAAATGGATTAAACTAGTTAATTCCTCAAAATTCTACACACAATACCCCATAATCACAATGTGAAAAAGATTTTTTGAAATTGTTGGAAATTTATTAATAATAAAAAAAATCTGAAAAATCACATGTACATCAGTATTCACAGCCAGTATTCAGAGCTCAGGTAAATTCTGTTTCCTCTGATCATTCTTAAGATGTTTCCGCAGCTTAATTGGAGTTCACCTGTGGTATATTCAGTTGATTGGACATGATGAAAGCACAAACCAAGCATGAAGAACAAGGAATTGTCTTGAGCCACAAGGCTGGGAAAGGTAACAGAAAAACTTCTGCTGCTCCGCAAGTTCCAATGAGCACTGTGGCCTCCATCTTCCATAAGTGGAAGTTGTTTGGAACCACCAGGACACTTCATAGAGCTGGCTGGCCATCTAAGCTGAGTGATCGGGGGGCGGGGGGTGGGGGGGGGGCATAAGAAATAAAGTTTTCTGGTCTGATGAGACTAAAATTGAACTATTGGAGTGAATGCCAGGCATTACATTTGGAGAAAACCAGGCACCGCTCATCACCAGGCTAATACCATCGCTACAGTGAAGCATGGTGGTGGCAGCATCATGCTGTGGGGATGTTTTTCAGCAGCAGGAACTGTAAGACTAGCCAGGATTGAGGGGAAAATGAATGCAGCAATGTACAGAGACATCCTGAATGAAAACTTGCTTCAGAGTGCTCTTGGGGCGACGGTTCATCTTCCAGCAGGACAATAAACCAAAGCACACTGCTAAAATATCAATGGAGTGGGTTCACAGCAATTCTGTGAATGTTCTTGAGTGGCCCAGCCAGAGCCCAGACCTAAATCCTATTGAACATCTCTGGAAACATCTGAAAATGGCTGTACACAGTCGCTTCCCATACAATCTGATAGAACTTGAGAGGTACTGCAAAGAGGAATGGGCAAAAATTCCCTCAGACAGGTGTGCCAAGCTTGTGGCATCATATCCAAAAAGAATTGAGGCTTTAATTGCTGCCAAAGGCGCATCAACAAAGTATTGAGCAAAGGCTGTGAATACTGATGAACATGTGATTTTTTCAGATTTTTTATTATGAATAAATTTGCAACAATTAAAAAAAAAACTTTTTTCACATTGTCATTATGGGGTATTGTGTGTAGAATTTTGAGGAAATAAATTAATTTAATCCATTTTTGAAATAAGGCTGTAACATAAAAAAAATTGTGGAAAAAGTGAAGCACTATGAATATTTTCCAGATGCACTGTATCAAAATAAAGAACAACGCCTCTTTGTTTAAATAACAACAACAACAACAAAACATTTTATCATATCTTTATGTGTTAATGTTTTATTACCTTTTGAATGCAGTAGATTGCATAAAAACGAAACATTTTTTACAAAAAAGTTTTTTTTTTTAAAGTAGTGCATTTTTAAGGCATATAGTATATACTACACACAGACACACAGGTCAATGGGGGCTGATCATTTCATAGTCGCCAGTGACGACTCTTTTTACATAGAATCTTGTCTACACCTTCTCTTATAATTTTAAGTTTCACTCAACTGAGTTACAGGAGTTCTGTAACTATTCTGGAGCTACAGTAGGGCTTAAAAACACGAAACGAAAAACACAGATTGCTGTAAAGATATGTCAATGGCGAGGATGCCTTGCATCTTTTTTGACAAGTTGTCGATGGCTAGGAAGCTAATATATTCAGACAGCATGTTTTTTTATATATATATATATGTATACACAATTTTGCCACAGTAACATAATGGAATATTGTACCATATACTGTACATGTTTTTGAACTGCACTATGGTAATACTGGGTAATTACATCAGTTGTATCTGTCTGACAGGTATAAGATGCTGAACCAGGAGGAGGGTGAGTACTACAACGTACCCATCCCCGAGGAGAATGACATTAACTTGGAGCTGCGGCAGAAGTTTGAGGTGAGTGTCTGTGGCTCTGCTTCACACACTCACGGTCACGTCAGAGAAGCGTTTAGCAGTCCTGAATCACACAATCAGCCTGTGGATGCGTGAATGTGCTTCAGACTAGATCGTGACTCTCCGAAGACCAATGCTGGTGTCAGGTCACCATAGAAACCGTTTCCATGGTGAAATCCCGGGGCTGGTGGGATGCTGAGGGATGGCAGGGACATGACTGCTGCTCAGATCCCATTGTCAAGCGTTTACTGACAATTCAACCACAGTTTGGCTTCATCAGACCGAAGCTGTTAGCTTGTGTGTGTGTCTATGGAAACTTTTGTTTTGTTTTTTGGGTGTTTTTGGTCTTTATCTGGGCTGTCAGGGCTAACAGTCATCAGGGTGCTGTGACAGTCTTCAGAATCATGATTCTCTCAGATGAATGTGCAGTTTTCTGTCAAGCTCACAATAAATCCCCCACACCCCAATTATATATATATATATATATATATATATATATATATATATATATATATATATATATATATATATATATATATATATATATATTCATTCATTCATTTTCTTGTCGGCTTAGTCACTTTATTAACCCGGGGTTGCCACAGCAAAATGAAACGCCAACTTATCAAGCAAGTTTTTACGCAGCGGATGCCCTTCCAGCCGGAACCCATCTCTGGGAAACATCCACACACACATTCACACACTACAGACAATTTAGCCTACCCAGTTCACCTGTACCGCATGTCTTTGGACTGTGGGGGAAACCAGAGCACGCGGAGGAAACCCACACGAAGGCTGGGAGAACATGCAAACTCCACATAGAAACGCCAACTGGGCCGAGGTTCGAACCAGCGACCTTCTTGATGTGAGGCGACGGCAGTACCTACTGCGCCACTGCATCGCCACCCTAAGTATGTAAAGTATGGATTTACATATATTGACGGCAAAAAATAATTAAAGCGACATTTTAGAAACCAAACACCCTGGTTTTCAAAGACGACTCCAATAGCTGAGGGCATCACAAAAGTGTCTAACATCTTCATGTTCAAAATAAGAACAGGCACTCCATGCATCGTACTGTGTAGCTCACCGTTTAGCAAAGGCCAAGAAAGCCCACACAATAGCAGTAGAGCAAATAACTGGTGATTAATATAAAAATGGTTATGATTATTTTAATAGTTTTACTGTAATTTGCTGGTTCGGTTCAACGAGATCAGTTTTATTAACAGTTCAGTGTAGATCATTTAAACTGAACCTTTTCTTTATCCTAACAAATGTTTACAGTATTTGTCTTTTTTACTTTGTAATATTTCAATAATTTGATACATTTTGTTAAATGACAGCAATAAAATGTTGTTTATTTGTAAGCCATTGTGATTTTCTTGTGATTTAACTGTCACTACTTGTGTTTGTTAACAAATAAATACAAATATATTATAATTCCTAAAATTATATTCTAGTTCCAAATTTGGGTCGTGGCTTGATGACCATGTAAAAATGTGGGTCCAATGGGCAAACCAGTTGAGAACCGCTGGTCTATAGTATAGTGTAAACATAACATCTTGCAGAAGAATGTAAACTATCTTTTACTAAATGCCATTGTCATTTAACCCTTGTGTACTGTTCAAATTGTGTCAAATTCTACCCTTTCGTTATGTTGGTGGCAGTTTTTTCCCTATTGACTTCCATTATAATGACATTTTTTGACTGCAAAGCCACGATAATCACCATATAATCATACATTTTTGATTTGGTTGCTGGTTTTCCCTGTTAGAAAGAAGTAATATTTGTAATTCGTGCTGTGTAATACTGTTTCTTCCCCCGATTTTTAATAGAAAGATTATATAAACTATGTTTTTATTTCTTTTGCCATTAAAGTTGAGAGTCCATGAAATGTGATCAGGGTTCATTTGAGCATTGGTTTGTCTGATGTCCTCTCTCCTTGTTTTTGTCAAAAATATTTCCCTGCTCTTCCGCATGTCCAGCAGTCTGAAGAGAAAGCCGTGTCTTCATCCTCGTCTGTGTGCTTTCCGCAGACTAACATACCAGTTTTCTCCCTCCTCTAGGCCTGTCAGTTCAATATCCACCTGCTGAAGGTAGACTCGTCCGTCTCTCTGGCCTGCTCGCCTCTCGTCTGTCCCGATCTGTCCATCAAATGATGCTAGAAATCACTCGCTCTGATTATTTGTGCGGCTCCGGCTGCAACAAAGAAATCAGATTTACTAACAAAGATGCAATCCGACTCCTTTCAGGTGTCTATTGAGACACATGCGCACACACACAAAAGCACATTCCAAAAATGCCATCCCATGACATCTGACCTTTGATCCGCTGAAGGGGCAACATATTGTTATTACAAAAAAAAACATCATCATTATTATTATTATTATTATTATTAGTAGTAGTAGTATTATTTACAAGCATATAATGATGACAATATTGATTATGTATTACTATTATTATTATTATTATTTACAAGCAAGTAATGATGATAATATATTATTGTTGTTCTAATGACAATTTTTGTTTTAAAGATTAAAATTGTTGTTGTTGTTGTCATTATTATAATAATCATTATCATTAATATGGTTTTAATTAGTAACTTGTTTTATTATTATTATTATTATTATTATTATTATTATTATTATTATTATTATGTACAAGCAAATAATATTGATTGATGTTTTTTGTAGTCGGAGTCGTTGTTGTTGTTGTTGTTACTACTCTTGTTATTATAATAATATTAATAATTATTAATATTATTTTGTAAGGTGGATTTTGTATTATTATTATTATTATGATTTTATTTAATATTTAAATAATAGTTTGTATTATTATTATTATTATTATCATTATTACTTAAAATTTTAGGTAGTAGTTTGTATTGCTGTTATTATTATTTAACATGTTAAGTAGTAGTTTGTATTATTATTATTATTATTATTATTATTATTATTATTATTAAATGTTTGAAGTAGTAGCTTGTGTTATTATTTAATATTTTAATATTTTATATATTATATATTATATTATGTTATTATTATTGTTGTTGTTGTTGTTGTTATTTACAGGTATATAATGATAATAATATTGAATATTATTGTTGTTGTTAATATTAGTAGTAGTGGCAATATTTTTGCTGTTGCTGTTATTATTATTTTTATTGCCATAATAATCCTATAATAATATCAATATTTATTATCACTATTATTTTTAAGTATTTAGTATTTTAGTTATTATTATTATTATTCATTTATCATTGTGTCAGTGAACTATTTTATAGTTATCTTTTTAGCACCTCTACATATCAAGTTATGGGTTGCACTTCCAAATGAGACGTACATTTGGCATTTTTTGTGTCCATCGTCCCTCACTGTCCCTCTGTTTTTAAAATACTTCACTTACTATTTACAGTTTACCCAATATTACTTCGATAATTTACACAAAGTATCATGGGGTACAAGAAAAAGTGGATACTGTACCCTATTAAATACCAATCTCTCATAGCATCACTGATACGTATGACATTCCAGTTGACTAAAATCCAATAAAACAATAAATTAGTACTTTTAAAATGTATTTCCCATCAAATGCATCAGATATACAGTACACAAAACACTTTACACACCACACACACACACACACACCCATGTAATTCCAGTTGGGAAGGGCTGCAGTTGTTAGTAAATGAGCAGAGCACAGAAGCTGAAGGACAGCAGATGATCTTTTGGCTGTTTGTGATCTGCCTGGGCCTTCTATAAGTTATAGAAGGTTAATTCCCCCGGACCCTGAGCATGTTTCATGTGCATCCAGAGCGAATGACACACATGAGCGGACACGTTAACGCTGCTCTTCTCTGATTGAACCTAGTGCTTGGGTTTGCATGAGACTTCCAATAGAGGGCAGCACATGATAATATAATGGATGCGTTTCAGTTTTCACCATTTCTCAGAGCTCAGTGCTAATGAAATGCCAGTTTTGCAGACTTTTAATGTATGCATGTTATAATAGATCCATAATATTTAATTATTGTTTCATTGTTTAGGCAAAAAAAAAAGCTTTGGTGTGTGTTTCTGTAGCACTTTATAATCAAAGCAGTTTAAAGCAATAGTGCACCTGAAAAGACAAATGTACTCACTATTTAAGTGCTTCCAATGCATTATGAGTGTCTCTAATGAACACGAAAGAAGATATTTTGAAGAATGTTGGAAACCAGCGGCCTTTGCCTTCCATACTAGGAAAATAAATACCATAGATGTCAATGGTTACCGTTTTCCAACATTTTTCAAAGTATCTTATTTTTTGTTCTCCGAAAAAATGAAACTTAATAATGATGTAAATGATTTTAAAGCTGAACTTTAGCAGAGATAAGCAGGGATAAAATTGCGGAATCAGATATATGTAACCGCGTGAAGTTTCATCAGAGTGAAACAAATTGAATGCAACACAAAGCAGTGAAGGAATTGTAGTTATATTGATACAAACTTTGATACAATATTTGTTCTGAATTATCTTAATGAATTTAGTGCCTGGCAAATATTAATCAGGATTAATGGCATCCGAAATAAACATTTGTGTTTACATATATTTGTGTGTGTACTGTATATATTTATTACGCATATGTACAGTAAATACACACATGCTTTATCATCTTTTCAGTTTATCATCTTTTTATATTTCACAGGTTGATGAAGGTAAAATTAAAGACAATATTAATCCAAAAAAATAGTTCAAAAGATAAAGATATTTTTGTGTTGGATGCTTCTTTTATATATATATATATATATATATATATATATATATATATAAATGAATCATAGCTCAGTGTTGCTAAGGCCAATAGCTTATTTGGTAAATCTGTCTATTAAATCTGGTAAGTTTCCACAATTTTTTAAGATGCCAGTGGTGACCCCTGTTTTTAATTCTGGGGAGTTTGATGAGGTGTCTAATTATAGGGCCATCTCAATTGTTCCAGTAATATCCAAAGTTTTAGAAAAGTTAGTGGCTGAACAATTAATTAAATATTTGGAAGAAAGTAATTAGCAGAACTCTAAGCAGTTTGGATTTTGACCAAAATATTGAACAGAAATGGCAACATTTTACAGATATGATAAAAAGCAGCTTGGATCAAGGAAAGGTTGTGGGAGCAGTATTTTTAGACTTTAAAAAGGCTTTCAATACCGTGAATCATGAAGTACTTATGAATAAATAGAAACAATTTAACTTTTCACAACTAGCTCTAAACTGGTTTAAGTCATACCTGGATTATAGACAGCAATGTGTTCAAATTAACGGTGTGAAGTAAACACTAAAAATCCTAATTAGGTGTACCACAAGGCTCAATATTGGGACCATTACTTTTCTGTTTGTATATAAATGATCTACCAGAAAGTTGCAATGAGGTTGGTTGTCACATGTATGCTGATGATACAACTATTTATATAACAGCAGAAACTCCACAGAAGGCTGGAGAAATGTTAACCAAGCAACTGGTCTGTATTTCCCACTGGCTGCAGGACAACTGTTTAACTCTAAACTACAGCAAAACACTTTCAATGTGTTTTCCTTAAAAAAAAAAAAAACAAAGCATTAGAAGTATTTAAAATCCAAATTGACCAAAAGGAAATCAAGGAAGTAAGTGAATTTTAATATCTAGGTGTCATCATAAACTCAAAGCTTAAGTTTGATATTAAGAAAATGTCTAAGACTATACAGACAAGTTTAAAGTATTTTTGTGTGATAAGACCATATACAGATGAAGTCAGAATTATTAGCCCCCCCCCTTGATTTATTTTTTTGTTTTCTTTTTAAAATATTTCCTAAATGATGTTTAACAGGGCAAGGAAATTTTCACAGTATATCTGATAATATTTTTTTCTTCTGGAGAAATTATTATTTGTTTTATTTTGGCTAGTATAAAAGCAGATTTACATTTTTTAAACACCATTTTAAGGACAAAATTAATAGCCCCTTAAAGCTATTTTTTTTTCCGATAGTCTACAGAACAAACCACTGTTATACAATGACTTGCCTAATTACTCTAACCTGCCTAGTTAGAGACCCCAGCTGCCAGCAATAAACCGTATTTTTACAGCCTATTTAAGCCTTTAAATGCCACCTTCAGCTGAAAAATATTATTTACTGTCATGGCATCCGTTATTCTTATTAGTATTAAATCCGTTATTAGAAATGGGTTATTAAAACTATTATGTTTTATGTTATGTAATAGATCTGACTTTAACTGTATGTATATATATATATATTTTTTATAGTATACTGTTTAGTATACTATAATAATACGTATAAGACAAATATATACTGTTTTTTATAGTAAACACTATTTTTACTTTGTGTGAATGTACACTCTCAGAAATCAGAAATAAAGGTACGGGAGCTGTCACTGGGGCAGTACCTGTTTAAAGGATACATATTTGTACCCAAATAGTCCACAGGGGTACCTAAAAGGTGCATAATAGTACCCAAATGTACCTAAAAAGTACCTTTTAGGTACCATTATGGACCCTTCAGGTACAAATATGTTCCTTTTGAAAAGGTACTGCCCCAGTGACAGCTCCCGTACCTTTATTTCTGAGAGTGTAATTTATTCTCTTGACCATAATAAATATTGTTGATTTAGACTAAAATGATTGTTTGAACCCCAAGCTAAATTATATTTGGAGGAAACACTATTTCTAACTAATTACAGTAATTTTACCTACCGTTATTTGAAAGTATCTTTTTTTTCAGTGTAGCATGTGAATTAAGCAGATTCATCTATTAGTGATCTCCACATCAGCACAGTGAACTTTCCCTAAGACGCAGACCTAGACCAAAAACAACTATAGTAAATCACAGCACTGGTTACTACTAATACCTATTGCATCATTATTGTGAAGGACCAGCACTGCATCTGTTTGCACACCTGTTATTTCGGCAGGACGATATTAAGAGAGCAGCACTCCAATACTTTCATTAGCAGCGTGAGAGGATTTACAACAGCTGCCTCAAATTAAATTAGCATGTGAAACCCCTGATAATTGTGTGTCATTTCCTCATCACTGACTGAATGAGGGTTATCTGTCTTCCTCTGACCTCAGAAACTTAAGCGGCTCTTCTGTTAAATAGCTGTCTTTTCTATTATTAAAGCTGATGATTCATTGGGATTTTCATGCGACGTGAAGGCGTGTTATATTATTCATGTCTTTAAATAATACATTTCATTAATTCTGATAAAGATAATCTGAATTATATTTTTGAGCTATATTTATCTCTGTTGGGGCACTAAGGCTAACCCACGCCTCCCACCAGTGCCGATATACAGCCATATCGCACTGCTACTCATGTGATATTGCTCATATATATATATATATATATATATATATATATATATATATATATATATATATATATATATATATATATATATATATATATATATATAAACGTCATTTGGTGTTACATTTAACGATTTTGGTCACGTGACTTATATTTTCTAGTTTCCAAACTTCCACACACTTTTAAAAAATTCAACTATTATAAATGTTTACTAGTTTTTTTTTTTTGTTTTTTTTTCTAATCTATCTAGCTGTTCGTTCATGCTAAAAATAAATAAATAGCTGATTAGTTTAAAAAAAAGTTTCTGGTTTTTTATTATGTTTGACTATTTGGGTCTTGTGAATCATATTTCGTACTTCCGAACTTTCGTTAAGGGCGCATACACTGTAAAAAAAAAAAAAAACTATTATAAATGTATGCTGTATTTTTCTAAAGCTATCTAGTTATGTTCGTTCATGCTAAAAATCTATAAATAACGGATTACTTTTTAGAAAAAACATCTATGATTTGTTGTTACAGTTGACAATTTGGGTCACGTGACTCATATTTTGTGCTTTCGAACTTTCGTACACTGTAACACAAAATTAACTATTATGAAAGTTTGCTACATATTTCCTATAGCTATGTTCGTTTATGTTAAAAATAAATACAGATTTTTTTAAAAAATTTGTCATTTGTCATTACTTTTAACGATTTGGGTCATGGGATTCTTATTTCACATTTCCGAATTTCCACTAAGGGCGCATACGCTGTTATTTTAACTATTATAAATATATTAACTATTATAAATGTGCTATTTTTTTCTAATCTATCTAGCTATGTTTGCTAATGTAAAAAAATAATAATAAATGAATAACCAACTATTTTAAAACGTCTCTCACTTGTTACGTTTATCGTGATTTATTTATGTGCTTCTGAACTTCTGCTAAGGGCACATAAAAATTGCTGGGTTTCAATTGGTACTAGGTACAATTGATTTGTGTTAGGACAGCATGAAACAATTTATTAATTTGTACAAATGTAAGTGGATTGAACATAAAACAATTAAGTTGACCCCAAAAAAAACTCAAGAGTTGTGTTGTTTCAGCTCTAAGTAGTTTGAACAAACAGAGTCAAAACTGTCATTTTTTAAGTGTTGCGCGTATCAATGCAAATGTTTCAATGCAATGGAAAAATTTTGCGATTGTGACAGCACTTAAAATGGCTGACGACCTGATGAGTGCACTGACTACTGAACAAAAGAGCTGATTGAGATGCACCCCAATGCAATCAAATTGAAAGATTATAAACCTCAGTGTGTTGCGATGCGCCTGATGGAGGAGAAGCTAACAGCGACTGTGTGACCTTCAGCCACTGAATCAATGTCATATAAATGGCCTTTAACTCAATCAAGACTTTAGAGTTCTGTACATTCGAGTTCACTCGAGTTTTTTTGGTGTACTAACATGTTTTGAAAAAGGTACCAATCACAGCTAATTGGGAGCCTGTATGTTTCCAGATCTCCACTTCCAGCAGCTGTGGACGTTTTTTTTTTTTTTCAGCCTTTGTTCTGCATGTTCTGTCATTTCCGCACAGTAACAGCACGTTTATACCGAATGCCACACTGAGCACGTCACAGAGTTTCATTTGCAGATTGTTGTAGAAACTCTTGTGTGAATATGTGTCTGTTATTGACCACTCTCCATTACTCTTGTAGAAAGCCAAGCTCGGTCCTGGAAAGAAAGTCATCACCCCCACTGATCACCGACGCTTCAGTTTACCGTCCGGAAACATGGACAAAGTTCGACTCAATGACTTCCATTTCCTGGCTCTTCTTGGCAAAGGGAGTTTTGGGAAGGTCAGTCACTTTCTGAAAGATCATCTGTAATATCCTTCTGTTAGAAAATTTCGCATAACTCTATACTCTACAGTAGGGATGTAACGGTATCAGAATTTCACGGTACGGTAATACCTCGGTATGAATGTCACGGTACGGTATTTATTGAATCATTTACAGGAAAAAACAAAACTTATGAAAATACTCCAAAAAAGTGCCAAAAGTGTCAATGACATACAAATTAGCCATCTATCTGTAAGCTTTGAAACAGGAACTTCAATTTTAATAACAAAAAATCATTAAACCATGTAAAAAAATAAAGTTTCAATTTAGTATTGTTGAAAACTCATCACATTCAACATTTAATCACTCACTCACTCACTTAGATAGAGATGGGTTTATAGGAAAATTATCATATAACTATAATCTGGTAAAAGCTGGTATCTCTGGGCATTTACAATGTCCCCTGCAACAGAAAAAAACCCTCTCATTTGGGACTGAGGATTCTGGGACAAGAGAGATATGACTTGGCCCCGGTTGACAGCAGTGGGTAACGTTGTGCATTGTCTTTCCCCGACTTGAGAGGACAAGCCATGAGTGAGATAGAGGTCTCATGTCTGCATCAATCTGAACAGTGTGCTGTGTTTCTGCAGTCCCCATGACTGTTATTAGTCGTATTCCCCAACTTGCAGGCACATGCACACATAGGGCTCAACCTGTGCAGTGCACATGCCCTTTTTAGTCTTGGATAGAAAGTGCCCTTCCAAAATGATCAAAAGTGCCCCCGCGACGCGACAGACCCTCCGTCCCGGCCTTCAGTAGGCGCGCGACAACACCGCTCTTGAGTATGCGCGCTCAACCCCCCTTCCCCGCTTTACAGTACGTGCGCGACAACACAGCTGATCAGAACGCGCGCAACAACACCGCTATTCAGTACGCGCGCGACAACACAGCTGATCAGAACGCGCGCAACAACACAGCTGATCAGAACGCGCGCGTGACAACACAGCTGATCAGAACGCACGCGACAACACAGCTGATCAGAACGCACGCGACAACACAGCTGATCAGAACGCACGCGACAACACAGCTGATCAGAACGCGCGCGACAACACAGCTGATCAGAACGCGCGCGACAACACAGCTGATCAAAACGCGCGCGACAACATCGCTATTCAGTACGTGCGCGACAACACAGCTGATCAGAACGCGCGCGACAACACAGCTGATAAGAACTCGCGTGACAACACCGCTATTCAGTACGCGCGCGACAACACAGCTGATAAGAAATCGCGCGACAACACCGCTATTCAGTACGCGCGCGGCGACAACACCCGCTTAAGCGTTTTCCAGCTCTTTTTCATCCCCGCTTCTAGCAGCACACTCCATTTCCGCATTACTGGATCTGTAGCGACAACAGACCGCAAGGGATTATGGCCAAGCCTGGGCTGATGGGAATTGTAATTTCCGCTACCTCCCGTTCGCTTCATTCGCCTGAGCAAATTTTCTCAGAAGACCTATAGTTTTACAGAGTCATGCGACTACGGTAATATCGAAAAAAAATAATATTGCGGTATTACAGTATTTACAATACCGTTACATCCCTAATATATAGTGATATATATGTATGTATGTATATATATATATATATATATATATATATATATATATATATATATATATATATACACACACACACACACACACACACACACACACACACACACACACACACCCCATTTTGAATATACAGAATGAGTACACCCTATTTTAAAAATTAATATTGTTATTCAGTTTTCAGTGAATATAGATCATATATTTTGGTGCATTTGAACAAAACTTATTTATTAAACAAATATTATAAATAAATAAAAAATATTTATTCACTAAACATCTTTAGATATAAAAAGATAATACATTTAAATTCATATGAAATATTGGGGGAAAATTACAAATGACAAAAATTTCAACAAGATTTTATGCATTTTTTTTATTTTGCTTTTTTAAAATAACTTTATTTAATATTTGTCCCTGACATATAAATTTACATAAATACCATCATCATGAGTTATTTTGTTAGATTAACTCCAGATTTGGCTTCAGTGCTGACTAAACTAATGCATATGCACACATATAATATTGTATAGCTTCCTATTAAAATTATTTATTTAAATGAGAGATTTGTGAGGGGTGTACTCATATACATTGAGCATTATATATGTGAGCAATATCACAGGAGTAGCAGTGCGATATGGCTGTATATCGGCACTGGTGGGAGGCGTGCGTTGCCTTAGTGCTCCTAACAGTACCGATATACAGCCATATTACACTGCTACGAGTGTGATATTGCGTTTATATAACAGTTTGACGGCATAATTGTGTATATAAAAACAAAATCAAACACGTAAAGTCTCAAAAACCCTTTTGTATTAGGAACTACTTTTTTCCACGTTGGATTCATATCATAAGCTGACAGTTAAACAGTTGAGCAAGCATCTTTTAAACTTTAGATCTGTAGTGTCTGCTTTTTGCTGGCTGTATGTGGGCATACAATAGTAATACACAAAGTGTAAAGAGGCTGTACGGGTGCTGACATTACTTAAATATATCACGGCTATTAGCCAATCAGATTCGAGAACCAGACAGAACTGTTGTATAAATATATATATATATATATATATATATATATATATATATATATATATATATATATATATATATATGTGTGTCTGTGTGTGTGTGTGTGTGTATATATATATATATATGTATGTATGTATGTATGTATATATATATATATATATATATGTAGATTTCCAACATTACTAGTTACTCGCCATTTTCACTAGCCTCACTTTTTTTGTTGGGAAATATATTTTATATGCACAAACTTGACTTTGACATGCTAAGATGACTTGATTTAGATGTTGTGTTATGTCCACAACACGCCTCCTCATTCATTTAGTTTCTTGTGTGTGTGTTGTGTATTAGCTTGCTCAGTGTGCATGAGCAAATGGGTTGTGTCGCAACGCAATTAGTTTTTATTTCACATGACTTTTTACGGCTCAAAATTAAGGATTTACCAAACTGATCTCTGACCACACCAAATAAGTATTTCTTAGCCACAATGTTTTAATGTGTCAAAACGAGGAAAATATATGTATAGGTGCACTTTTTAATTCAACAAAACTTTTCTTTAAAAAAAACATTACATTTGAAAAAAGAAGTATTGTCATGTATCTAAAATATGCACAGTAATCAGTCCTGGCTAAAAGTTATGGTTAAATGTAACAGGGGATGTTTGATTCTATCACTAATCGATGTTTGTTAATCGTTTTAAACCCCTAACAGAGTTGATGATAACAGAGTTGACATTTTCCACCATTTTAGCTTTAGCTCATGATGCTAACCTCAAACCATATATCACATGTCTAAAACTTAATTTCATGTGTTTGCATTGTATTATTGCTTGTAAGAAGTGAATAAGAAATTTGTTAAAATATTAAAGTAACAGAATTGACACATAATTAATCTATTATTAGTGTATTCCAAACATTGTAAACAAATTAATGAGACAAGAATAATGAGAAGCCTCAGTTTCTTCTAGAGTTTCCCACCAGAGGAAGTGACATCTTTTGGAGCAAGTCACATGCCTTTTTTTATCAGTGTTTTTCAGATTATTATGCCTTTACAGAGTTGACCAGAACGTAAGGACATACAAAAGTCAACACAGGCTCATTGTGAATATGTACCCCATCTACATTTCTGGAGAGCACAAATGATGTTGCCAGATGTACGTCTGGCTGCATTTCGTCTTTAAAACGATAGCTACGAGGCATTATGACACCACCGCTGGCTTGTTTTTTTTTTGGGAGCTACCAGCTGACCACCTACCTCCTTGTGGATGGCTTTTCCGCTGTTACCAGTTTGAACAGTAGCTCGCCAATTATGTCAACGGACTTGGAAAGCGGAGTTGAGTTGATCGTGACAACGGTGATTCAGTCCAATGAAGAACAGTACCAGAAAGCAGGTCAAACAAAAACAAAAGGCAAAAGGTAAAATAAACAAGTAAATTACAGGGTGAGAATGTGGTGAGATCTGAAAACCTTCTACAAATCAGGTGGCTGCAATGGCTTTTCTTTTTCTGCATTGCTTTTCAAAACACTATTGGTTGGCTCATGCCGAGTTCATGAATTTAGCCCCGATTTTGACTCGTCGACAGGTTTTGGGAAATAGCCAACAAATGCCTAAAATGACAGGCAAATCGGTGCTCATGCACGTGAGTGACAATCACACAGTATGAACTAACCAAGACACAATCTGAGAGAATTTAAATCATGCCGTGTTAAATGAGTTTTGACTAAAAATAACATCGGTGATCGCTTACAGCCAATGAGAGAGCAGCATTCAGTTGTGTGTGTGTTTGTGTGTACCTGCTGGCCAGCGGGAGGTTGAGTGAGAAGTTAAAAGTGCTCATTTTCAATTTATTTGGATCCAAGAAATGGAGGAACAACTAGTGAAGGATTGACAGGAGCACCCGTGTCTGTTTCATGTTTCATACAGAAAGTTAAAAAAGAAAGTTGAAGAGAAATTGCTAATTCCCTTCAAACCCAGGTGAGAAAATATGTAAATTTTTACCCCATTAAGGGCTTCTTTCTCGTTATGTAGTTAATAACAAAAGATATACTGTGTTTTTGGCTGTAAGACTTAGTTTGGATGAAGTTTTTGAAGATTCTTCCTATTGTAAAGTCATCCAATATGAAAGTCCCTGTCGCCGATCCATCTTACAGTGTAAACAAAGCAGCGACGAAACGCTAGCCCAGATAGTCATGCAGTGTGAAAACATCTGTGACACGGCTACTTTGAAAATCATGCAGTCTGAACTCTGCATAAGGGAAGGGGGTGGGTGTGGTTATCGGTCGGTCAGACTTCTGGTAGGCACGAATGTCATTCGCTAGAGGAGTTTGAGATCTGAAAAAGTGTACACAGCGGCCTCTGGTAGATTTGCGAAAACAAAAACTGCAAAACAACATAGCTCCTAGGAAGTATTTTGCGCTCTCCAGATGTATTTACAGGGGAACATATCCACAATGTGACTAGGTTGCAAAAAAGTTAATATTTTTAAGACAAATGTCCCTAAGGCTGTCAGGGTTGTGGATGGGAAATGGGGAAAAAGGAGCGAGGACTTAAGTGCAGGAAAATGGGGAATTTATTAAATTATAAATATAAAATAAAATGCAAAATAAACTACGCCGAGGGGGAAAACATTAACAAAACAAATACATACACAAACAAACAGGACTGGGCAGGCTGACAAGGATGACGACTGGAAACACAACAGGACAAGACTTCATACAACGACATGTGATGACGAACTGGCCCAGGACAGCAAATGTGAGGGGTTTATAACTGTAGAAAATTAACACACAAACAGGTGAACACAATTAACTAATAATGAGTTAACAAGGAGGGTGGGATAAGACAATAGACGGGAGAGCGCATGACACAGAGAGACAACACAAGCCATGCGCTCACATAACAGGACAAGAACATGCAGCCAATGAGAGAACTCATTTACCGCATGTTCATGACAACAAAAACAAAACACTGAAGCACACGACCAAAGCACGTGACCACAATGTAAACACCGAGCCACGTGCTTTGACAAGAGACACAAGACACGAGGACACGATAGATAAACATCTTACTGTGCGCTCACGCATAAGCAACGCGCATGCTTCATCTCAGCACCAAACAACTGAAACCAACTAGACGGAGGCGCCGAGAATAAAGCAGCGCGATGCTGACAGAACAAACACAAACACTTGCACACAGAGACAGAAACAGGACCAGACATGGGTAGTGTCAGAGCTCTGCCACCAAAACAAGAATTTACAAGACCAGAGTGGCAGAACCCTGACAAAGGCTTGATTTAATTTGGGTTCTTATTCAAAACTTGGAGATACAAAATGCTCCTCTAAAATTCCCCATAGGTGTTTTTAACTCTTCTCCAAAAATGTGTGTGTCACACACAGGTGATGTTGGCAGAGATGAAGTCCACAGAGGAGTTATACGCTATTAAAATCCTGAAAAAGGATGTGGTGATCCAGGATGATGACGTGGAGTGCACAATGGTGGAGAAGAGAGTTCTGGCCCAAAGAGAAAAGCCACCTTTCCTCACACAACTACACTCTTGCTTCCAGACAGTGGTGAGAAATGCATCTCTGTGTTCGCTGTGTGTGTTTGTCATTTGGAGCATTTACTGTTACAATACCATTAACCATTAGACATAAAAAAAAAAAAAAACGTCTTCTTTTTTTCACCATGTCCACTGCAATGGATGCGATGCTCTGAGAAAAATCTCTGACAGTAAAATGATGCTGCTTTTTCTGTTTCTGACATACATTACTGTGCAAACGTTTTAGGCCAACAATAAATCTGTTGTTTTACTAATGGTATAACTGGGCTCCAAATTGCGACCATTTTAATCGCATATGCGCCCAAAATTTTATCTATCCGACCTCAAAATGTACACATTTTTTTTCTCCACCATCAAATCCCTTCCGGGTCCCCGTGAAGTCCGGAGCTCATTCTGACTGAAATGCTGTTGAAAGGATTGTGCAGAAAACTGCAGAAAAGTTGATTCACAGTTATCTGAATCATAAGCTGTCTTTCGATTGTCAGCCATGGCTATATTTTTTGTTAAATAAATAATGACGCTTTGTGAGTTTTTTTTTAACTGATATGTCCTGATATGGAAACTCGTCAAATCCAACAAGGTGTTGTAACTTGTTCACATGATTGTATATTAGGATCCTCCATAAAGAAGATATTAAAATATCACATTACACTAGTAGTGTAACTACTTACTAGTAGTGTAGGTAAACAATAAGAGCATTTTTCCAAACTAGCACTGCACCCTAATGCAAAGTGCCTGATCAGCTACAGCTTCTACTAAGAAAACATAACTTTTTAAATATTTATTTTGGGGCATTTCGCCTTTTATTGACAGAACTATAGGTAGATATGTGAAGTTGGATAGAGAAGAGAGACTGGATCGTAAAGGTCCATGATCCAGGATTCAATCTCGGGGCCCCCGAAGTCAATTTGCGCTACATAGTATGTCTGCATACTAACCACTAAGCTATCACCGCCAACTGAAAGCCTAATTTTTGATCAGTAATGTGCATTGCTGAGCAGTTCATTTAGACAACTTTAGAGAGGGGATTTTTCTTTTTGAACCCTCAGATATTCAAATAGCGGTATCTCTGACAAATATTGTTCTATCCTAGCAAACCATACATACAAATGGAAAGCCTATTTATTCAGGGTTTCTCTCAGAATTAGGGTCTCTGGGTCAGCAAATATTGTAAGTATTATACATTTTTCTTCCAAAATCTTCAAAATCTTTTCATTGTGTTAGATAAATTCATTAAACTCTCCGTTTAATGTTTGACATAGAAAACAGCACAAATAAGCAGTGTTTGTATTGGGGGTTTTGTATGTGCCGGACAGGAGAATCTCCTCCAGGAACCCCAGCAGCTGCTCTCAGTGAGGGCATCCTGCTCATGAATAATCCAACAGATCCCAGCATGCCCTCGCTAAATATTCATGAGCTGCATGCAGACAGCAAATCAGCCATCATGTCCACTCGCATTTCACTCCAAACAGCATAACTCCCTGCGGGTTTATCAGTTCTTAAACACAACTGGTGTCAGAGGAAGGTGACACGGAGGAATAATTCACAGCGCATCGGTCTACGGCAGCTGAATTAGTCCAAAACACACAGTACTTTTTGCGGTTGGACCTGTTTTAGTACGAATCATATTCTCACCACAAACGAACCGCTCCAGGGTTCGTTTGAAAGCGTACCAAGACCACCTCTTCAAGCAGGTCTCGGTACGGTTTTTTGGTCCACTTTTGGTGCGCACTCGAGTACGATTGCTGCATTCTCACCTGCCCAAACGAACCGCACCAAAAGGGCAAACGAACTCTAGTGCGATTCAATCGAACTAAATAAGGCAGGTGTGAAAGCACCCTTAGTTTGTTTACAAATGTGCAGTGTTTTGTTTTTAGGAAAGTAGGTTATACATAAATCCTATGAGTGATTTGTAGAACAAAAACACTATTGATTGGATTTAGTGAAGGGTTTGGTCAGTGGTTTGCTAGCTGCTCTGTACGACAAGTGCTGTCTTTTGCTGGATGTGTACAAAAAGGATGTGTATCTGAAACGTACAACAAATGTACCCAAAGTAATGTATTTCAAGTTCACAAAAAATAGACAGCGCCCTCTAGTGGATTTGTCTTCCGAAACCTAGAGCAACATATGTTATGTTTCACAAAAAAAAAGTAAGCTGATGCACATATTTCCAATGATCCTGAGCTGAATACATGCTAGTGACAAGAGCACATTACGGTCAAGGGAATCAATTTGCGGACCATAAAGTGGATGTAAAAGCTTAAACAGATATATGAATTTCTGTCCCAATGTTTCACTGGCCCAAAACTTTCTGACACTGCCTCTGAATTAGCAGGAAGTCCTTACTGATGAACCCCATTACAGAAATGCTGTCATTTTTAGGTAATGTATTAGTCAATGTGCATGTTTGGGATGTGAATGTAATCGACTTTCTAATTTTGAAGGAAATAAAGGCGCCAAAAGCTGGTCACTAAAGTGTCTGTTACAGAGTGTCTTGACATATCAATGGCATTTAAGGACAGTAGATGGATTGATTCAGTGCTAAAAACAGGGATGTGCTTGATATTTTCTGCACCTGCACTATTTGTCTCATTTGTCTTTTGTCAGGATCGTCTGTACTTTGTAATGGAGTACATTAACGGCGGAGACCTGATGTATCACATCCAGCAAGTGGGCAAGTTTAAGGAGCCACAAGCTGTGTAAGAAAATGACCCACTTCTTACTAGCAGTCAAAACACACAATGAGTACAGACTGATCTCATTAGTCACGCTGTTCGTCCACATGTCGGTTTATACAAACAGTCTTGGTGTGACTATTTTTTGGAGTAGAATACTAATGTAAAGCACACTAAAGTAAAGTACTACTGATAGTAAACTGTAAAGGATCTGTAAATAAGCAGTTTTCCATATTTTGTGATTCATTTTTTACTTATGCTTTTGAATTGCATTATGGGACCTTGATTTATCTTCCAACAACGTTTAGGACCAATCCCAATTCTTTCCCTTAGCACAGGGGTGTCCAAACTCGGTCCTGGAGGGCCAGTGTCCTGGAGAGTTTAGCTCCCACTTGCTTCAACACACCTGCCTGGAAGTTTCTAGTATATCTAGTAAGATCTTGATTAGTTAGTTCAGGTGTGTTTAATAAGGGTTGGAACTAAACTCTCCAGGACACTGGAGAGCTTGTTGCGACATATGATGACGTGTGCGGGTGTTGTAGTGTTCTCCTTTTCCTTAGGGGTCCATATAAAGCCCTTCCCCTTCACACTCTGTTTCAAGGACCAAGGGGAAGGGGTAGGGGTGTAAAAATTGACTTGAGATTGGTCCTTAATCTTGAATGATTAAGTTTAAGATTTTAAAGTAGTATATTTTCTGGGTTGACATTGTATATTACGGCAGGGGTTCTCAACCTTCTTCACTTCGGAGCCCACTTCTTTCTCTGATCAATTTTTGAAGGCCCACCTATGAAATGCTCATATATATCTCCCCAAATTGATTGTGTGTGCCTGTAAGTCTACGAGCTGAGATTTAGGGCCCTGTCATACACCCGGCGCAGTGTGGCGCAAGGCGTGGCGCTGTAGTCTTTTGGTAGTTTCAGCTTGGCGCAAGAGTCGTTTTGAGGCGTTTCGCTACGCTGTTTAATTAGCAAATGCATTAGCGCTCATTTGTGTGCCCATAGGCGTTCTGGTCTAAAAAGGAAGGCGTTCTGAGGCGGACCGCTGGCGCGTCGCTATTTTGAGCAACTATTATAGATTTTTCATTAGACCAAAACTAACCCGGTCTAAACTCCGGCGCAGAGTTGCGCCTCGCTTACGCACTGCTTAATACGCACAAGAGAGCAATAGGCAAATATCTTTACATATGAAAAAAATTAAATATTTAGGATATATATAGGATATAATAAGAATAGATATAGGATATAAATATAAATGATTAAAATATTACAAAACATTATTTTCTAGCCTACATAAATATGAAAAATCTCTGCTTTTATGTCTTCTTCATCTCGGGAGGCTTTTTCAGTTCATTCATAACAATTTGCTTTTGTATAATGTTATTATTATTAGCAGTATTATTTAATATATCCATATTTATATTTGTTTTATTAAAAACAAGCTTAGATTTGCCCACCTGTCAGGTTTTAGACCATATGGGGCACAGCATGTGTTTTAGGATATAACTCAGGTTTTTGAGCACATTTTGTTATTATTGTTCATTTATTCGTTTGCTGGAAATTAGAACTGAATTTAGAAATAGTTTTGAAACTAATATTTGCGCTTAACAAACAAAATTATTTATTTATAGACTAATTGATGTCTGTGCGTAAAGGTTTCCCTATCCAAGAGCGAATGTGAAAGTAGATCAATTATCTCTCATTCTCACGCAGTAGATGCTCTGTTTAACAGTTTTCTGTTAAAAAACCTGTTATCTGTTAACTGTTTGCTTGTGAAATGCTCATTTTTTCCACTTAGACTTACTTTGCGTCCTGTAAATAGCGAATGCGCTCTTGGCGTGACATAGCTGACTCTTAAAGGGAATGGGAGATGAGACTCTAATTGGTTTATTCTCAGATTTCCTGTCCTTAAATTAGCAAAAACGTGTCCTGACACGCCCTGAAAGCCTTTGCGCCCTGCGTTTTGCGCTCTGCGCATGGAACCGTCAAAATAGAGCCCAAAGAAACTCCTGCCCGCAAATAAATATTCAATCACTATGCTCTAAAGTTAATTCCATACTTTAACATGGTGAGCAGCGGTGAAGTGAGGCAACAGAACAAGGAAGCGCTGGATTTCTTACCACACCGGCGTGTTTCAAATCTGTGGTGTGAGCACATTTTGGTTTTGCCGTTGAGTGTAGTGCCAATAAAAGAAAAAACCTTAAAAAAAAATGACTGTGTGCAAGCATTATAGCCTACTCAAACGGAAATACTTCCAACATGACTGCACATCTGTGGCCCCATCACCTAGCAATATTACTTTCTGAAGGCAGGATAGCAGAGAAGGTAATAAAGTTCTCCAAATAGCAACAATCCCTCGCTGAATTCTTCCAGCAGACATACCCAACTGGTTCAGAGAGACACATAAAAATAACAAAGGCAGTGCGGGTGTTCATTGCTGAAGATTTACTGCCATTTTCAGTGATTGGAGATGCAGGCTTCTGTCATCTTATAAAAGCACTCGATCCGCGTTAACTTACAGACTACCGTCTCACACTTTTTTTAGCACCGAGATAATTAAGATGGTTTATTTATGTTTACTGAATTACAATTATGTTTATTTGAAATGGCCAGTTTATCTTTATTAACTTCACATGTATGTTTATTTTCAAAGTGTAGGATTTTATGTGTTCCCCAGTATGTACATGGGCTACCAGCAGCTGTGAGATTTCAGTGTTAATTTTTTATACAATACACTAGGAACTACTGTACTTTTCTTGGCTTTAAAGTAAAATAGAGTATTGCAATAAACAGTTTTTTATTTTTTTCTCCTTAACCTTTTATGGTTCCTATTGCCTAAGCATAGAATAACAAAAGAAAAACGCGTGTCAAGCCATCAGAACCGAGGTATGTATTGAATTGTAGGTATGTAGGTATAATTGTTGTATATATATATATATATATAAAAAATATATATATATTTTGCGCTCACACACACACACACACATATATATATATATATATATATATATATATATATATATATATATATATATATATATATATATTCCACAAACAGAAAGCTCTAAACAGAAAGAAACTGCATATAATGAGGGAATATATGAGGCTGGTGATCATAAATAGAGCTGTTCATGTTAATATAATGTATGCCTGCGCTCCGACACCACACCATTCTCACCTTGTCAACAGAGGCTAGAAACGTTCAGGCACTGAACAAAAGCACATTTGATTCCTTTGTTTCTTGTAAGGACTTAAATAGCACTCTGAGAATGAAAAAAACAGTCTATGACACGTTTGTGAATGTGTGATGCTGACTGATGCTCACTGTGCTGTGTTGATAGATTCTATGCGGCAGAGATTGCAGTCGGACTCTTCTTTCTTCATAGGAAGGGAATTATTTACAGGTGAGTGGATGAAAGCTTTTCATCCTTAAAGAGATATCTACCCACAAATGAAAATGTTTACCATTTACTCAACCCCGAGTGCTTCTAACCCTTTATAATTTTTCTTTTTACTGCTGAAAACAAAAGATAAAGAAAAATCATTAACTTCCAGTGGTTGAAAAAAATAATAATATGGGTGCCTTACTGCTTTTAAGTTAATAATCTCATTTTTCTCGTGAAAGAGCTGGGATGTAACCCCGGTGTTCTGGCCAAAGTCCCTCTATCGGCCCTTACGATCATGGCCTCCTTCCACCGAATTGGCTCTATCTCTCCACTCCACCAATAGCTGGTGCGAGGTGAGTGCACTGGCGTCGTTGTCCTGTGGCTGCCGTTGCATCATTCGAGTGGATGCTGCACACTGGTGGTGGTGTGGAGAGACACACCCTCCCCCCTCCTCATGATTGAGAAGCGCTTTGGGTGTATGGCCATACACAATAAATGCGCTATATAAATACACATTACATTACATTACAATAATGACATAATTTTGTTTCGGGTAAACTATCCCTTAAAGTCCTTGCTCTACACTGAACTAAAAACTGTAGCAGATATTATGGATGCCTTCACAATAAGCCATTTACAAGGTCTTAAATATTAAATAATACAGCAATAACATCTATTAATAACATCTTTTTTTAATCTATATACTTTCAATGTCCATTAGTTTAACAAAAGAATCACCAGTTTGACCTGAGATGCCCAAAGCTGGGCCCACAGGCCAAAGTTGGCCCATGATAACATTTGATTTGGCCTCCCGTCCCATGCCTTTAATAGAGACAGTCATTTTTAACGCAATCTTTTATTTGTTTGTTTTATTGTTGAGCTACACAAAAGCAAGCTTGGATTAAATGTTTTAACTAAATTTTGTAAATAAATCAGATTTATTTAAATGGAATTATTTGTTTTACGTGTAATAAGGTGATTATAAAATGTAGTATATATATATATATATATATATATATATATATATATATATATATATAATGCATTAGTTAATATAATTAACTAATACAATTAAATTAATGCGTCAATTTATTTTTTAAAGGTTGTTTTAAAAAAATTAGGAAATTAGCCATGGCAACTTTGTAATGCAGTTTGGCCCCCAGCCCTCAGCTGTGTTTGTTTTTTTTGGCCCTTTATAGGAAAAAATTTGAGCACCCCTGATCTAGACTCTCCAAAAAGTCATATATATTTTTTCAAACACCAAAATATATAATTTTTTTTAAAGATGAAATTAGATAAAAGTTAAATCCCAAAAATGTTTTAAAACCACAATTCATATATGCAATGATGCAAAGTAACATTTCTTGCCCAAAAGTGTAGTTTAAGTTAAGAAAGTAAAAAGTAGTTTGAGTAAAGAGTAGCCTTTAGGTACATAAAAGTAGTGAGTAGTAAGTATTATGCTTTGGAAATAATTCCATCTTATACCCTCCAGATAAAAAATGTAGAGTATTTTACATCAGTGCCATTTTCTTTCAAGTGTGTTTCTGAGTGTGAGTTAAATTATTTGTCACTCATGGATTATAAATTGAAAATGTTTGAACACATTACAGTAATATATATACCTATAATTGGGAAAAAAAATAAACAAGTGGGCTAATAATTCAAGGGGCTAATAATTATGACTTCAACTGTGTGTGTGTGTGTGTGTGTGTGTGTGTGTGTGTGTGTGTGTGTGTGTGTGTGTGTGTGTGTGTGTGTGTGTGTGTGTGTGTGTGTGTGTGTGTGTGTGTGTGTGTGTGTGTGTGTGTGTGTGTGTGTGTGTGTGTGTGTGTATATGTACAGTTGGAGTCAGAATTATTAGCCCCCTTTTGATTTTTATTTTCTTTTTTAAATATTTCCCAAATGATGTTTAACAGAGCAATGAAATTTTCACAGTATGTCTGATAATATATTTTTCTTCTAGAGAAAGTCTTATTTGTTTTATTTTGGCTAGAATAAAAGCAGTTATTAATTTTTTATAAACTATTTTTGGGACAAAATTATTAGCCCCTTTAAGCTCTTTTTTTCCGATAATCTACAGAACAAACAATCGTTATACAATAACTTGACTAATTACCCTAACCTGCCTAGTTCACCTTATTAATCTAGTTAAGCCTTTAAATGTCACTTTAAGCTGTATAGATATATAAAGAAAATATAAAGTAAAATATTATTTACTGTCATCATGGCAAAGATAAAATAAATCAGTTATTTAGAAATAAGTTTTTAAAACTATTATGCTTAGAAATGTGCTGAAACAATCTTCCCTCCATTTAACAGAAATTGGGGGAAAATATAAACAGGGACGCTAATAATTCAGGGGGGCTAATAATTCTGACTTCAACTGTATATAAACCAAGCTCCTGTAGCATTGATAGAATACATGCAGTTTGTAGTTGTGTTTGAAAACAACATTCTGTAGTCCATTTAACTATTGTTTAAGGACACTTGGTCAGAAATAGCAAAGAAATCTGCAGATTTTTGCCTCTGAGGGTGTGATGTTTTTGTCACATGCTTGAGGTATTTGGCCATTCATAGCGCACTAAATGCAACAGTAATGTACAGTATGTGGAAAATAATGTGCTTTTTGAACAAAAGGTACAAAATAATGTTCTTTATAGTAATGTCACATGGCCTCTTATATGCTATTAAACTGTCATCTTCCAGCCACACTAATATATCTTTATTCTAGAGCAGTAATACCCGAATACGATGAAAATGAGACATCAAATGAATACGAAAATAGAAATTGGAGCGTAGCTGAAAACAAGCCATTACCTGAAGTAAACAGCATTACTCAGGGTTCAGCAGGTCCTGAAGCGCAGCATAAATGTTGCTGTGAGTCTGTGCGGAGAGTGAGAGGGGCTGTTTCTCGCTCGTCCCTGTAGGCCTCGGCGTTCAGCTCACATTAATCATGCTCTCTGATGATGAAGGCTGAGGTCGACCTGACCTCGCTGTTTTACTGCCCAAAAACACACACCACTCACTCAATCACTCACTCACTGTCCACATCTGCCTTCAGCTGCTTGTATCTGAGCTCAGCTTCACACACACACACACACACACCTGTGTTCTGTCCTCAGAGATCTGAAGCTGGACAACGTGATGCTGGACTCCGAGGGCCACATCAAGATCGCAGACTTCGGCATGTGTAAGGAGAACATGTATGAGGGAATGACCACTCGGACCTTCTGCGGGACGCCGGATTACATCGCCCCAGAGGTGAATGTTTCTTAATGAACTACATGTCCTCCCTGGTAAGGATTTCGGTCTTAAAAGGAGGGGTAAAGTAAGATGTATGGTGTGTGGATGTGGCGATGTGTGTGTGTCATTTGGACTGGGATGTGGTAGGAGCCAGGATGGGGTTGGGGTTAGGGTAAGGAGAGAGGTGGGGGTTGGGTGTGGGAGAATGGAGTGGGGTTGGGGGTTAGGATTAGGGTTGAGGGTGGGGTTTGGGGTAGGGTTTGGGGTGGGGTTTGGGGTTGGGGTTAGGGAGGAGGAGTTTGGGATGGGGGTAGGGTTTGGGTTAGGCTTAGGGTTGGGGTTAGGGAGAAGGTGGTTGGGGTTAGGGTTAGGGTATAGGGTTTCACACACACACACACACACACACACACACACACACACACACACACACACACACACACACACACACACACACACAATTTAGTCTATTCAATTCACCAATAGTGCATGTCTTTGGATTGTGGGAGAAACCAAAGCACCCGGAGGAAACCGGAAACCCACATCAACACAGGACACATCAACACATCAACACATCAACCCACATCAACACAGGAAGAGCATGCAAACTCCACACAGAAATGCAAAGTAGCCTAGCCAGGACTTGAACCAGTATATATATATATATTTTGTAATATGAATATTATTTGGTTAAACTTTATTTATTAACTGTATTTAAATGGTACAATGCAAATGCTTTAATTATTTGGATTGGCTTGCAACTGGTTATTGGATAGCTGGAAGACGGGTGTTTGTTACACAGAAGAGCAGCTGCCGATAGCCTCACTGTAATTTGCTGTCTATAGCAAAACCCACAGTGATATTGACCTGCAGATTAGCACTGTGACATTTCCACTAAGGTGTGTCAGCTTGACATCTTGACGTGTGAGTGCGTGCGTGCGTGTGTGTGCGTATGTGGGAAGAGAAACGCAAACATAAACATGCCGTACGATAGATTTCACACCACACAAGCAGCTTTGCTTCTCAAGACAGTGTGTGTGTAAGTGTTTGTGTGTGCTTGTAAACATTTTGAGGAAACTTTCATCTCGTTTTATTGCATTTAGCTGCAGATTTCTTACAGCTTTTTGAGGTTTTTTCTTTAATGGATGTTTTCAGCTCATGTGTCATGGAAGCTCCTGCTTCATCTAATCCCTCTCTTATTGATCTCCTCATGACTGATCAATGACCAGGACATTCATTTAAACGGAGACACTATAACATTTTAAATCAGACATCATTTTAGAAGGCAAAACCAGTAATAATAATATGTTTATCTGAATAGACTGAATGCTAAATTCAGATAACAGATAGCAACACTAATCAGTAATGATTTTTAATCTAGAAATGCATTAATCCCACTAAACATGTTATATAGATGACTTTAATCTAGACAGCACTAATTGTGTCAGCTATTGTTGGTATCTGCTCTCCTTGGTCTCCATATTGGACACTTGGGGCCCTATCATACACCCGGAGCAGTGTGGCGCAAGGCGTGGCGCAATAGTCTTTTGGTAGTTTCAGCTTGGCGCAAGAGTCGTTTTGAGGCGTTGCGCTACGCTGTTTAAATAGCAAATGTATTAGCGCTCATTTGTGTGCCCATAGGCATTCTGGTCTAAAAAGGGAGGCATTCTGAGGCGGACCGCTGGCGTGTTGCTATTTTGAGAAATTATAATAGATTTTTGATTAGACCAAAACTAACCCGGTCTAAACTCTGGCGCAGAGTTGCGCCTCGCTTACGCACTGCTTAATACACACAAGAGAGCAAAAAGCAAATATCTTTACATTTGAAAAAAATTAAATATTAAGGATATATATAGGATATAATAAGAATAGATATAGGATATAAATATAAAGGATTAAAATATTACAAAACATATTATTTTCTAGCCTACATAAATATCAAAAATCACTGCTTTTATGTCTTCTTCATCTCGGGAGGCTTTTTCAGTTCATTCATAACAATTTGCTTTTGTATAATGTTATTATTATTAGCAGTATTATTTATTATATCCATATGTATATTTATTTAATTAAAAACAAGCTTAGATTTGCCCACCTGTCAGGTTTTAGACCGTAAGGGGCACAGCATGTGTTTTAGGATATAACTCAGGTTTTTGAGCACACTTCGTTATTATTGTTCATTTATTCGTTTGCTAGAAATTAGAACTGAATTTAGAAATAGTTTTGAAACGAATATTTGCGCTTAACAAACGCAATCATTTATTTATAGACTAATTGATGTCTGTGCGTAAAGGTTTCCCTATCCAAGAGCGAAAGTGAAAGTAGTTGCATTATCTCTCATACAGTTTTCTGTTAAAAAAGACTGTTAACTGTTTGCTTGTGAAATGCTCATTTTTTCCACTTAGACTTACTTTGCATCCTGTAAATAGCGAATGCGCTTTTGGCGTGACGCAGCTGGCATTAAAGGGAATGGGAGATGAGACTCTTATTGGTTTATTCTCAAAACACACCTATAACTCATTAAGAAAATAAACTCAACCCTTTTAGACCATGCGCCATGGCGCAAAGCAGGTTTTCCCTTCCTTAAATTAGCAAAAACGTGCTCTGACATGCCCTGAAAGCGTTTGCGCCCTGCGTTTTGCGCTCTGCGCATGGACCGTCAAAATAAAGCCCTTGGTCTCAGTAACGTGTAGCCTCTGATTTGGGATAGTTATTAAGTAGACTATTCTCTTTACCATTGCAATACTCAGATTCTATAAGCAAAAGCCTTGTGGATTATATACAATCATACAATTGTGGTTTAGGATTTCATACCAACACACACACACACATGTTTGTTGTTGTGATTTGTGGGGATATTCTATAGATTTCCATAGTTTTTTTATTCAACTGTATTTCCTATTGCCCTACCCCTACCCTAAACCCAACCCTCGCAGGAAACTGTGCATTTTAACATTCTGAGAGAAAAAAAAAACTTAATCTGTATGATTAATAAGCTTTTTGAGAAATGGGAACATCAGCAACGTCCTCATAATTCAAAATTGCCTTGTAATACCAGTGTAATATCAGTTTCATTATACACACATGTCCTGATATGTCATAAAAACACGACCACACACGCGCACACACATTACTATGAATGCTGTCCAGCCAGAGGTGTGTCATCACAGCCCTGAGCGTCTTATGAATGTAAAGAAGGTCCATTAGAAACTCCAGCACGTCTGCTTCCTGACAGAGCCATTTATTCCTCCTCAGCCAATCACACGGCAGCCTTTATATTACTGCAGATGGGATTTCATTTTTGGCAACACAATGAATCTTTTATTTTGGAGCAAACAGTCCCTCTACCTGACTGGCATGAGGAGCATTTGTAGTTGGAGGCTTTTCAAATTTGGTTGTTGATTTAAAAAGGTAAATCCAAACAATAAAAAGCAATTGTTTATGAAGTTTTGTAGCAACTCCAAATGATTACCGAATGCTTCAAAGAGTCAAATTATAAACAAGAAATACACAGAGTCTTTTTATTATTTGATAATGTGTGCTAAGAACACCTGCATACTAGAAAGATTTATTTCCAAAAGATATGAGTGATAAAATGTACTCGTCATAATAGAAGTGTGAACGCCATTTATAGTTCCCCTTGGAGCACCTTGAGAAAGGTGATGCTATTCAGTGTTATGATTTACAGTAGTTTCTACTGAAACAAGAAGATCCTTTTTTTTTTAAAGGGGACCTATTATGCAAAAATCTATTTTCTAAGGAGTTTAAACACAGTTGTGTGGTAACAGTCTGTCAATATAACCAACTTCTAATGATAAAAGTGAAATAATTATATATTTTTATGATCGCAGTTGATAAAAACAGTCTGCAGAAACACTTTGATTGACATTCTCCCTTTGTACGTGTCATCAGAGGGGGAAAGCTCCGCCCATTAGTGATGATCTCTCCTTCATTAGCATAAGACAATAGTCTTGCTTTTGAATCTTCCACTACCACTATACTGACACATAGGCAGTTGTAGCTCCGCCTTTTTTGAAAAGGTTGGGATCTCATTTGAATTTAAAGTGACAGTCACCAAAATGGCACACTTAGGTTCGATGCCTAAAAGGGGCATTTCAAAGAATTATTAAACATTATTTGTGGAGTATTTTTAGCTAAAACTTCATATACACACTCTAGGGCAGTGGTCACCAAACTTGTTCCTGGAGGGCCGGTGTCCTGCAGATTTTAGCTCCAACCCTAATTAAGCATTTCTGAACATGCTAATCAAAGTCTTACTAGGTATACTTGAAACATCCAGGCAGGTGTGTTGAGGCAAGTTTGAGCTAAACCCTGCAGGGACATCGGCCCTCCAGGACCGAGATTGGTGACCCCTGCTCTAGGGACATTAGAGATGTATTTTACATCTTTTAAAAAGGCACATAATATATCCCCTTTAACCAACAGTGTTTGGGAGTGATGGGAATAATGGCGCTATAAATAACAGCGTTACTAATGGTGATACTTTTTCCAGTAACGAGTATGATCACGCTACAGTAATTACTCTTTCCCCCGTTACAACGACGTTACCATTTCTAATATTAAAATGCGTGTTACTATAATGGAGAACATTATAGTGATGGAGAACATTCGAGCAGCATCTCTCTCAGTCATAGGACCTCTCTTTTTCTGGGGTGGGTGTGTGTGTTCGGGAAGGGTCACATAACCAACCAGTTATGATGATTGGTGTGTCTGTGAATGTGGTGTAACTAAGAACGTGATGACTGGCTTAGATATATATTTTTTCGATCATTTGCCAATCGGAGGCAGAGTAGTGCGGATGTTCACACACAAGCACACGAACAGTCAGTCGCACACACCAACGACCAGGAGGCAGAACGATGGCAAATCCAACAAGTTCAAAGGTAGAACTTGCAAACTGGAAATATAAATGTTTATGTATCGTGCAACTTATGCACAGGAAAAGAAGAGTCTCTTTGCATCGGTGACAAGTTATTCTAATAAAACGAAGCACTCAACGTCGTCACATGCCGCCACAAAATTAGTGGCTACGCAGGTGATAATGTGAGCTCTGCTCCCATTGGAGGAAACGAAGCCACGACGTCAAAGCAAATAAAACTTAATGTCTTCACCGCAAACACTTGTTACTCAGACAGAATTAAACAAAATAATATCTAGATATATATATCGTTGAGGACACACTGAAATTGTCTCTCGCATTGTCCCACTACAACAAAAATAGTGAAGATCAGTTTACAATGTTTTATATTTATTTTATAGTCATTTGACAAATTAGATTTTACGATAGTAACGCAATAATAACTATATAATATGACTATATAATTACTATAATTCTAACTATAATTGCTATAATTAAATAACTATATAATTACTATAACTATAACTAGTAACTATAATAATGACTCTTTTAAAGAAGCATGCCCAACACTGGTGTTTGGTTTATATTACAGACTGACAAAGAGGTAAGAACAGAGTTGAAGACAAAATTATTTGCTCTCTTATAAAAATTTGATGTATTTTTCAAGTATTTCCCAAGTGCTATGGTCTGCTAAGGTCAATATTAATAACCCCTTACGATATATATATATTTTTTTTCTGATCGGCTACAGCATAACCACCTGTTGTGCAATGACTTGCCTAATTAACCTAATTTGGCTAGTTTACCCAATTAGCCTACTTAAACCTTTAAATTGCACTTGAAGCTGAATATTAACATGTAACAAATGTTACATGCTGTCATCATGGCAAAAACAAATAGAAATTAGTTATTTAAACTATTATGTTTAAAACTATGTTGAAAAATCTCTGTTAATCAGCACCTGGGACATTTTTAAAAAATAATTAAAATTTCAGAACATGGCTGTATATCTTCTCAATGTGAATTTTGTTGTTGTTTTGGGGCATACCATATCATTGTAATGATGAGTGGGACAACAAGGGACAGATCCAAATGGAGTTCAGGAGCAGACAGTAGCATATACATTTATTCATTCATTTTCTTGTCGGCATAGTCTCTTTATTAATCTGGGGTCGCCTCAGCAAAATGAACCGCCACCTTATCCAGCAAGTTTTTACGCAGCAGATGCCCTTCCAGCCGCAACCCATCTCTGGGAAACATCCAAACCCACATTCACACACAAACTCATACACTACTGACAATTTAGCCTACCCAATTCACCTGTACCGCATGTCTTTGGACTGTGGGGGAAACCGGAGCACCCGGAGGAAACCCATGGAGAACATGCAAACTCCACACAGAAATGCCAACTGAGCCGAGGTTCTAAGCAGCGACCCAGCGACCTTCTTGCTGTAAGGCGACAGCACTACCTACTGCGCCACTGCCTCGCCCGACAGTAGCATATAGATAATCAAAAAAGTAATAAAGGCGAAGGGGTCAAGACAGGCAGTAAAACAAACATAAGCAGTAAAAACAAACAAGAGTCAAAAACACGACTAGGCAATACAGGAAAATACTTACGCGATGTGTGAGTTGTGTGTATATATTGCATGTGTCCGAGTGCCTGTAATCAGTAGCAGACCTGAAACCGGTGTGTGGCTGCAGGACATGACGGGAAATGTGGTTCAGGTGAATGACAATGAGTGTTATCCTGATATCCGCGAGGGCTACATTGCTGGTGATCATAACAAATATCATAACGATTACCTATTTATCAAACATTTTAATAAAAGCCAAAAAAAAAACTATTTTTATAGATATCAGAGGGACCTAAATCCTTTTACACAAGCATTTGTCAGCGTATACTTCTGCTTTATTTGTTGATCTGATATCTTTGTTTTCTGACTGTGAAACAATGGTTCAATATATGTTGTTGACAAAAACAGTTAGCTGTGTCAGCGCCCATACATGTTCATTTCTGTAAACATATTTCAAGTTCACAGTAGTCTCTTAAGAGGACATACTACAGCTCTAAATATATATAGTAGTATCGTAAAATATTGAATTTATATGTTATGCCAATTCTACATTACCTGGTAACCCAACCACTATAGTAACTATAGTATATAGTATAGTACACATGTACCAATATTGTAGTTTTCTAAAACTATATGGTATTATACTACAATACACCACAGTTTACTGTTGTAAAACTAAAATATACTACTGTATTTATTGCAATTTATCAGTTCACTATAGTTATTAATACAGTATATCGTAGCATTAATTAACAGAAAAGCAGATAAGATGCAAAGTTGCCATTTTAAGGATAGTTTGCCAATAATGGTTAAAACGATCATTTTGCATACTGTACTTTTGTTTGTGTGCTCATTCTGATGTCTTTGATCCAAATCTCACACTGTCTTCGGAAACAAAGTAGTCTGTATTGAACATCCTGTGCACAGACAAATGCTAATGAAGAAATGACCGGATATATCGACCTTCCTGCTTCTGAAAACAAGTGTAGCCACATGAACAGATCAATAGTTTAAATTAGCTCTTGGTGGAACAGTTGGTGGAAGATGACTTATGTGCTTTCTGTCATTTTACTGACAGTAAGAGAAGTCACATGAAAATAGGAAGAACATTAAACATGAAACATTAAACACTTTGGTCATTATCATACACCTGACGCCATGTGCAGCACATGTGTTTTCTTGCTATTTTTAGCCCAGTGCAAGGTATCATTTTCACATTTTGCGTCACGTTGTTCAAATAGCAAATGCATTTGCTGGAAATTAGAACTGATTGTAGAAATAGCTTTGAAACAAATGTTTGTGCTTAACAAATGAAATGACAAAAGTAATTATGCAACGGAAGATTTTAACCTTGCTCAGATGTTCTTTAATTTTTTTTCTCACTAATGAAAAATTCTATTTGTTTCGCTGTCAAAATACGTCATGTAAATAGCGAATGGTGCAGCTGACTCTTAAGGGTAATGGGATGAGATTCTGAATGGTTCATTCAAGCCTAAAACACACCCATAACTCATTAAGAGACAAGCATTTTAGACTATGCGCCTGGTGCAACAACTATTTTTCCTACCCTTAAAGAGACAGTTAATCTAAAAATGAAAATTCCCTGTTCATTTACTCACTCAAAGGTCACCCAGGATGTAAGTGACTACTTTTTCTTTAGTACAACATGAATCAACACAGTCCTTGGTGATTTATTTAAAGGCAGTAAATGGTGATAGATTTGTTTTTAGATCAAAAGTAAGCTAATAATAGTCTTCAGATTCTTATTTTCCCTTCATAAGATCTTAATGTGTCATGTGGAGCCAAAGCTAGGTCCACAAGGAATCTGGGCGCGCAGAAATCTGCAGATTTGAGTTTATTTATTTACTCGTGTACATGTGTGTAAACTTATATTTATACAGTTTTTAAATTAATTTCAACTATAATATTGATTAATATGTAAGTGTTCATTTGATTTATTTACAATACAGTGCGTACAGTAATGTTTTCTGTCTTATAGTAGATATTTTATATGGGAGACTTGCTTTGTTTACCAAATAAGTGGATCTAGATGGATTTGCATTGTAAACATTAAATACAAGTTTAAGAGATATTATATTTTATTTCAAATATTACGTTTTAGTTATGATACTCCCAAAATCCTTCTGCATAATTCCGCAGATTATTTACAAAAATCTCTGCAGATATAGCAAAACAAAAATCTCCAGATTCTGTATGGGCCTACCCATAACTCATTGATTCATTCATTTGCTTTTTGGCCTAGTCCCTTTATTCATCAGGGGTCGCCACAGTTGGAATGAACCGCTAACTTATCCAGCACATGTTTTACGCAGCGGATGCCCTGCCAGCAACAACCCAACACTTGGAAACACCCATACACTTGCAATTACACTCATACTCTAAGGCCAATTAAGCTTATTCAATTCACCTGTACCGCATGTCTTTGGACAATCAAAATAAGGACAATCATTTCAGACCATGCACCTGGTGAGACAACTGTTTTTCCCATCCTTAAAGAGATAGTTCATCTAAAAATGTAAATTTCCTGTAGATTTATACTCACCCAAAGGTCTCCCAAGATGTAAGTGACCTTTTTTTTGTCTTGATTCAACACAGTCCTTAATGATTCGTATAATAACAGTGAATGGTGATAGTTTTTTTTAGGTTAAAACTAAGCTAATAATAATGTTCAGATTCCTACAGGGGCTGATTGTTTCCTTTAACAAGATCTCAATGAGTCATTGGGAGCCATGGCTAATGATTTGAACTTGTTTGTATGTGTGTATTTTAAATCTAAAAAATTATCGAAATTTACTAGCATTATGTATGCAACTAGAAATTGTATTGAAAACCCTTTACAAAAATAGCTATTATATATGAAGCTATTATTTATGAAACTTTTAGTTTTTTTTTTTGAGAAATAATTAGCTTGTCTATATATATATATATATATATATATATATATATATATATATATATATATATATAGACAAGCTAATTATTAAGAGTTATTTCTCAAAAAAACTAAAAGTTTCATAAATAATAGCTTCATATATAATAGCTATTTTTGTAAAGGGCTTTAAATACAATTTCTAGAGCACACATGAAGAGAAAGAGCCTTTAAAGTGTGACGTGAAACATTCTCTTTCTCTGTTTCGCCAAGCTCTTATTAACTACCACTGTGATTATACTCACTCATTAGTGTGCTGAGTATGTGGGTGGAAGTGGACTAGTGAGGGGAAAAAGGCAATTATTACAGCAAATGGTTAAAAATAGCTGCGCGACTTAACACCCCCGTGAGCTGTAATAAAAAGTGCATTGTGGTCTTGACAAATGAATGGAGATTGAAAGGAGATTGCCGAAAGAGAGTGAATGACGAGACCGAAAATGATGCTGATTTGCTCTTCCTCCACAGATTATCGCCTATCAGCCGTATGGGAAATCAGTGGACTGGTGGGCTTACGGTGTGCTCCTGTACGAGATGCTGGCGGGGCAGGTAGGTGGACGTGTGCCGAAAGTTTTTCATTTTCGTTTTCTGCGTAGTTCTCGAATGCGTCAGACCTTTTCTGAGCGCTTTGAATAACTGTGATTGCAACCCCGTTGTGATCAGCAAAGGCCACTGAAAATCACATCTCTGAGCTGCAGAGCATGATGGGTACAGCTTACAAAAAAAGGAAAATAAATACCTGAGACGTTGCTTTTCACAAAGTGCTTCTGATGGAGAAAGATTTGTGGAGAATCTCCTTTCTGGATTCAGTACAATGTCTGGCAAGCATGTTTGTTTACATTGTGCACAATAAATGTTTTGAAACTGCATACCATTTTCAAAGTATAGAAACATTTTTATGGACACTGTTATAATCGTCAATGATCTAGCATTTGTAGATGGCTGGAGAACTACATGTCTGCCACTTTACCGAACCATAAATCCCATCATTGCCAGCAATCACACACCAGTTCTAGATCACCCCATAATTTCGCAGACACAGCTGCAGATAATCCACAGACACACTCATTCTTTGTTCAGTATTGTGCCTTGTTCCATGTTCTTGTTTCCATGTTTTGCTCTGTCTGCTTTTGATTCTTAGATTGTTTTTTGGATTGTGTTAGTTTCAACATAGGCTCATTTTGAAAACAAAGCCTGATATATATTTCTAGAGATCCCGAATAATGTAGCCAGAGCTACGTTTGGCTGCATTTCTTCTTTAAAGGGCACCTAGGTTACCCCTTTTTTCAGATTTAATATAAGTCTTTTGCGTCTCTAAAATGTGTATGTAAAGTTTCAGATCAAAATACCCATCAGATTTTTTATTATACCTTTTATAAGATGCTGTTTTATACTGATTTCCAGCAGGGGGTGGTTTTGTCGTACTGCGCCTTTAAGACGAGTTTTTCCCGCCCACTTTCTCGCCCACTACATGCCTCCTCCCTCAGCTGCGTCAGACAACAGACAGACTTAAAGGAAGAAGGTCTCACGTAGCGTTTGTGAGATACTACAGTAAGAACTAACCTTTACTAATCAGTATTGTGAAGTTGCATTGATGAGTCACACACAATATCGTTACAAAGTTAACACACACACACACACACACAGGCAGGCAGACAGAGCGCGCTTAGCTTAGTTAAGGCTAACCTCAAGTGCTTTGTGGATATCTGTTATGCTAATGTACAAAATAAACCTAATTTAACTTCCACAAACCGGGATTGAAGCGTCTTCTTTTATAATTGTTCTGACACGTGGCTGTGCTGATGAAGTAAAGCTGAAGTAAAACGCTGTAATTAATTACACACATATTCTGTTTTAAAACACTTTAAACATGTGAAAGTTACTCTTAATGACATTTGATGATGATTGCTGATCCTAGCGAACAGAACAGACCTTTTATTCTCGGTTGCTTTGCGTATCTCTGTCTGGTCTTGTTGACATATACACGCGACTACCGGAACATGTTAATGCGCGCAGCTGTCAATCAATTCGGTGGGCTGGTGGATCGCACACCTACGTAATGGTGCGATCGATTTGAAAACAGCTCCAATTGGCTGACCCTTTTTTTTGTAGTTAAATTGAAAAAAAACGACTGGGTGTGTTCATATCACCCCAGTATGACGGTCTATACACTATACCAACACACAGATCTGTCCAAACAGCTTGAAAAGTAGATTTTTTACCATAGGTGCCCTTTAAAACTAACGATACGGGGTAGTATGATGCTGTTTCATTTCTTGCATTCCCCCATGTGGACAGCTTTAACCGCTGTTACCAGTTTGTCCGGTAGCTCGGCATGTACGCTGTACGGACTTGAGATGCAGAATGGATATCACCGTGACAATGGAGTTTGTCCGGTGAAGAACAATTCCAACAAGCAGATAAGACAAAAACAAAAGCCAAAAAATAAAAATAAAAATAAAAAGTCAATAACAGAATGAAAATGTGGTAAAATCTGAAAACGTGGTAAAACTCAGGTGAAAGCTTTTCTTTTTCTAGATTGCTCTCTTAAAACACTGCGGTTGGGATTAGGGAAGTGGGTGGCTGGCACAATTGGTGCTTTTTTTAAAAATAACTATTGTTAGGGTTAAGGAAAGGTCAGTCAACAGCAGCAGATTTTTATGACAACAGCAGGCGTGAATGGCAATTGCAAGAGAAAACTCGTTCACAGCAGCCTCTGGTGGAAACCAAGAATTGCAAAAAAACGTAGCTCCTGGGACATATTTTGCTCTCTCCAGAAATGTATACAGGGGTACGTAATCTGAATGAGCTTAGGTTGGATAGCTTTCTGCCTGCCCTGACCTTTGCCTGTCTCTTGGATTACTCTATTGGATTGCCTTCACTATTAATGTTTTGTTCCTGTTTTGACCCCTGCCAACTGACTGTTCTCTTGAACTAAACCTGCACGTGAAACTCTAGATAAGACAAAGCAAAACATGGGAACAAGGACATGAAACAAGGCACAATACTAAGCAAAGAATAAAACTGTAGTCACACAGCACTTTCCATTCATACTTCTGCACATGACCTGTACAGAAATTTACAATATGGACCAATCGCTTACCTTTTAAATGTATGCTTATCTTGTGTAAACCTGCCCCTTTTCACAGTGCCATACGACAGAAATTTGCATGGTCAAACTCGGCATGAGTGTGTCTGTGGTACTTAAATAGTCCAAGAAATCAGTAAGCGTAATCAACAGCTGTGTCTGTGAAATCAAGGGGTGATCTAGAAATGGTGTGTGAGTTCTGGGCATGATGGGATTTGTAGATCAGTAAAGTCGCAGATGTGTAGTTCTCCAGTAATCTGCAAACGCTAGATCTCTGGTGATCATAACAGGCACTAAAATGAATACTGGCAAAGTCAAAAATGTATTTCAGTATAAATTTAAAATGTTTAGTTATTCTTTCTTTGTGTTTTTGTTACACTGTAACTATTCATTCAACTACTAAGTATTAATAATAATTTTATGCAGGGCATTACATTAACACCCGCAAACCTGCCAAATGTGGATAGATTTCAGCTCTGGCGGGTTAGACAGACACCTCCGCTTGCCACTTTGGCTGGTTGTAAATCTGCCACAAAGTGTAGTTTTCTTAAAATCAGGGATCGACAATAAGCACGACCCAATATTCGTGCAAAAGTGCACTTAGTATTAAGAAGCAGCACGACTGACAAAAATAACTGTTCGCGCGAGCAAAACAGCAAAAAAGAAGGTAAAAACCGAACGAGAGGATGATCACTCACTCGCATAGGAGATGTGATGTGATGCGCGACTTAAAAAGCGCACGCGCACTCCTGTTTACTTGCACAAAGCAACAATGCTCCCTTTGAAATAGACTGGACAAACAGCGATGATCATTCACCTCCAGACAGTCCTACTGCTTTCAAGAGCTCAAGATAAAAATACACATTCTTTTGTAACAGCAGCAATCACTGCTTTCATTTTAATTATTCTTTGAACAGATTATTAAAAGGCCTATATTAACCGTGGGCCTGTGATCATCCTTATGTTTCACCTGATTTCTTTCGCTTAAAGTTATTTTTGTTAATATGGTTTAATTATCATTTTTTTACATTGCTTTAATGGGAGATCATCTGTAGACTGATGGCATTTCATGTCAGTCAGCCTTATAATCTTGAAATGTGAGCAAAATCACCTGTTTTGTCATTACTAGATATGACGCTAGAGAATCATTCAAATAGTAGCTCTAAAATGACATTTGTGAACGTGACGTTTGTTGGCGGTTACTGCTGTTCCTCATACAAAGGTTTTTTGAGGCTGTCTTTGTTTGCTTTTCTTTTTTATAAACACGATTATGACGTTGAACTGTTATATAAACATAAAATCACAATCGTAGCAGTGCGGTATGGCTGTATATCATCACTGGTGGGACACTATATACAGCCTATATACTATACTATACAGCCACATCGCATCGCTTCTCGTGTAATATTGCTATATACAGTTGAACTCAGAATTATTAGCCCCCCTGAATTATTAGCACCTGTATATTTTTTTCCTTCAATTTCTGTTCAACGGAGAGAATATTTTTTAACACATTTCTAAACATAATAGTTTTAATAACTCATTTCTAATAACTGATTTATTTTATCTTTGCCATGATGACAGTAAATAATATTTGACTACATATTTTTAAGATACTTCTACACAGCTTAAAGTGACATTTAAAGACTTAATTTGGTTAATTAGGATAACTAAAAGTACTTTTTTTTTTAAATATTTATTTATTTTTAAATAAAAATTCAAAGGGGGGGGCAAATAATTCTGATTTCAACTATATATATATATATATATATATATATATATATATATATATATATATATATATATATATATATATATATATATATATATATATATATATATGAAGCTGTTAATAAATAAATAATGTATGTTTAAAATTATGTAACGACAGTGGAACACTATTAGCCCACCTGCGAAATGTGTGAAACTTTTTTTTTTCAAATATTTGTAAAATTTTAACAATTATAGGTCATTATTAGCTCCTTTAAGAAATGTATACATTAAAATACTAATGAGATCAGTTTGAATTTTAAGATATAGCTGTGATATAATATAAACTAATATATAAACTAATAAACTATATATAGTAAATTAGTAACTAATGAATTATATATGAACTAAGATACAGACACAATGATCATCATAATTTTAAGCAAGATTTTAAGTAGTTTGTCCTCTCTGGAATTTTCTCTGATCTGAACGAGATTCATTAAATATCCTGTGCTTTCCATCATTTATATCTCCACTATCTCTGGCTGACCAGCTAAGTCCAGCTAGTCTTGCCTTCCAGTTCATGTGTTTCACTTCGGATGATTTTGTCTTATAGGCGCCCCAGTCCTGAAATCATCCCTGCTTATGTAATGTCTCATCCCACTGCTCTGCTGGCTGGATACAGTGTTTTAAAAAAAACAAAGCTGTAAAATGACTCTGGAATGAAGACAGAAATGTGTAAATTGTGCTG